TCTTTTCTCTTCTATAGCTCCATTTCCCTGTCCTTTTCTTTTCTCTTCTATAGCTCCATTTCCCTGTCCTTTTGTGTTTATAGTTATTCTTTTTCTTCTGCTTAGTTTCTGGTGTTTTTTTTTCTCATTATTATTTTCTTTTTCCCATTGTTGGTTCCTTGTTTATTTTTTCTGTTTTGTATGTTTGTCAAGGGGAGAGGTTTTCTCTTTTGCTCCTGACAGGAGATTGAAACTGTGCCCATACAACCCAGCCACAATCATATCCTCTATCCCAATCCACTGACTGGGCAAGAGCTAATACCAACTCCTATATCATTTAATCAATGATAGACAGCAGCCAATACCAGCCAAACCCTGAGGTGCATGAATGGTGAACAAGAATGGTGTACACACTTCCATTCTCTAACTACACCCTCAGAAGACAGTTGGTGAGAGCCTAAGAACATATCAACACACAATCGTCAATTAAATACAAATATGACAACCCCACAATGCCTTGGAGACAACAGACAATTTTAGCTCACACAAGGAAATGAGAGAATGGCTCAAACAAATGGCTAAGATGCAGTTTTTTGAGGGAAAAAAAAGTAATGGAATTAACTGAAAAAGGAATTTACAAGAATGATATATGTAGGTACCTTCAGATTGACAGAAATATTGAGGAAAGTAAGGAGAACGTAGAAAAAAAACTTAGAAAAATTCAGGAAAACACTATTAGAACATACAGACATAATAAATGTAAATTTTGAAACAATACAAAACCTGCAATTAGAAATCCAGTAGATTAATAATAAGACTTTAGAAATTGACAATATGTCAAAAGGGTAAATGATTAGAAACAATAAAAGCCCAGATTACTGAGATTGACAATAAATCTCTCAATGCTAGTATGCTAAAATAATAATCAGAAAACAGAATGAGATACTCCAAAGAAAGCCTTAGAGTCATTTGGGGCACCATGAAAAGGAACAACTTACGGGTGATTGGAATTCCAGAACAGGAAGAGACCATAAAAAAGCAGTGAAAATTGTCAGAATGGTTGGAAGAAAACATCCCTAACATCATGAAAGACGAAAAGATGAGCATACAAGAAGCTAAATGAACCTGAAATCGATAGATAGATGAATAGAAAGATTCACTAAGACATAGCATAATGAGACTTCCCAAAACCAAAGAAGAGAATCCTGAGAGCAGTCAGGTAAAATGAAAAGTAACCTACAAAGTAGAACCAATATGACTAACCTCTGATTTCTCAGTAGAAACCATGCAGACAAGAAGGCAATGGGATGACATATACAAAGCTCTGCAAGAACAAAAATTACCAACCAAGAATCATATATACCCAGAAAAGCTGTCCCTCAAATATGGTGGCAAAATGAGGACATTTCTGATAAGCAGAAATTAAAGGAATTTGTAGACCAACTTTACAAAAGTACTAAAATAGGAAACCAGTGATATAAATTCATAATGAAGTCAACTACAAAGCAAAAAGAGGTGAATAGTGTAGCCATTAGAATCTCCAAATGGCTATGAAGTAGATTTTAAGATAAAATAGACTGTTTTAAGTAGGGAAAATGTAAATAAAGTGTAGCCTGAAAGAAAATTAATCCACTTGCACATCAAAAAAAAAAAAGAGGGAAACCAGAAAGATTTAGTAAACATTAACAGAAACGAAGAAAATAAAAAGAAATCCCACAAGCAAAATGAACTCAGTGTGGAAAATTATGTAGAAAACCCAGCAGCACCACACAAAATAACATATCAGAATGACAGCAATTAACTTATACCTATCGATAATTACACTGCATATAAATGGGTTACATGCACCAGTCAACAGACAGAGCAGAATGGATAAGAAAACAGGATCCTTCAATATGCTGTCCGCAAAAGACACATCAAAAAGATAGCCTAAATGACAATCAACAGAAGAATGATTTAACAAACTTAGGTACATAGACACAATGGAATACTATGCAACATTGAAGAATAATGGTGAATCTGCTTCACAACATGGATGAACCTGGAGGACATTATGCTGAATGAAATTAATCAATCACAAAAGGACAAATACGACTAACTATGGGTCGGAATAGACTCAACGGCACTTAACAACAACGTTGTAGAAAGTTAAAGGGTTTTCTTAACAAAAGAAACAATTATTGGTGGCTTCAGGAGGGGTGTGGAAGGAAATTTATTCATGGGCTAGAGGATAGACACATGTTAACATGGGTAACAAGGAAGGCAATATACAAGAGGGAGGTTAGCAGAGGAATAGAGATTAATACTGGTACTTGGAGGGGATTGCAATCATTCTAATGAAGTGCAAAGTATCTGGTTTGCTGAATGTAAAACTGATTATCTGCTGTAAACCTTCACTCAATTCACAATAAAAAGTTTTAAAAAATAAAATTGGATAGGTATGTCATTCACATAGGAGTCCTGGTATGGCACTGTGGGTTACCACATCTGGACTACAAAGTCGGTTTGAGCCACAAGGTTGGTGGTTCAAGCTTATCAGCTGCTCCTCAGAAACCTGTTTATTCAGGGTCGCTATGGGTTGAAACCGACTTGACAGCACTTAACAACTACAGCAATCATTCACATAGTTTAGAATTTAAAAAGTACAAAAGGGTAAACAGTGCAGAGTCCCTCTCTCCAGTTTCTCTTTGAACTCCCTGAAGTCTAGCTCTCACATTCGACTCCCCAGTTGAACTTGTTGACAGTGTCACAAGTGAGTTAGTCATAACCCAATCCTGTGGTCTTCCTGTACAGATCCAGGTGAAGATGAGTTTTGTATCAGCATTACAAAATCTTGTTTCTTAGAAATCTTTTTGTGTGACTTTTGTGACAGAATGAACCGATCTGTCTCTGTACTTCTCTTTGTCTTCTTATTGACTGAAATGTAGCTATTTCCCAACTGTGTGTCTGATCTTTCTCTGTAGTCTGTACATTAGTGAACATGTTATGGCTCGAGCTGCTGCATATTTAAGGACAGCTCCAAAGCTTGTGTAGACCACAAGCTGTAGAGTCAGACAGATGTGAGTTCAAATCTTCTTGTTACCACTTTTCTGATGAATTTTTGTCACTTAATATTTCTGAGCCAAGTTTCCCTCATTTGTAAGATGAAGATACTATTCCCTACCTACGCCTCCTGGATTTGGGGTTAAGAGAGTTGAAACAAGTGAGTCATAATCAGGAACAAAAATAAACATCACTTTTTTTGAGTTGTTGCTGTTTATGGTTTTTATTATTATCACTTCAAGCTCTGAGCTCATATTTTCTACCTGAATATTCCATTCTTTATCATTTCATGCAGGCCTCTGTTCAGATATCTCATCCACGATTCCTTTTTTTGATCATTACCTGAGACGCTCTTACCTTTTTCTGTCTTAATCACCACCAGGAATATTTGTTTATTGTTTGTCTTGTTTTGTGAGAATGTAAGTTCTTTGAAATCATTATCTTTTTGCTCACTAATACACAGCCGGCTTCTGGAACATTTCCTGGTACATTGTAAATGATCAGTACATACCGCAGAATGAAAACTCAATGGAGATAAAACCAAATGTAACAGTAGTTTTCCTTCACCTCCGCTCTCTACATTGTAAATGATCAGTACATACCGCAGAATGAAAACTCAACGGAGATAAAACCAAATGTAACAGTAGTTTTCCTTCACCTCCGCTCTCTTCCCCCTCCTTCCAATTCCTAGTCACCATCAGATGGTCTTCCAATAATTGTTCTCTTAATTGACATCCAGGCTAGAAATTGGAATTATTTTTTATTTTGACCACACTCCACATTGAACCAGATGCAACTAATTTTGACTCTTTTTTCATACTGTTTCTCATTTTCTTTCCCATTACTGCCTTTCTACTACTTACATAAGTAATTCACTAATGCGTCTCTGGACTTTAGCAGCTTCTGCTTTCTTCCTGCTTTCACACCATCACCAAAGAACTTCTTCTCAGAACACATTGAGAATGTTGTAATGGTATTGCTAAATCGTTATTTTTGTCAGAATAAAAATCTAAAGCCCTGATGGTCTTGAAGCCTTCATATTGTCACAATTTGGTCACATGCAGCCTTCTGGCTTTACCTGTCATTAGCCATTTTCTCTCTTCTCTGCCCATGCTTCAGCCTTGGATACAGTCACCACTCCTCACACCAACCCCTTGGTCTCCTTCCCTGTGCCATTTGTCTAGTCAGATAAGCAAGCACTAGATAAATTTATTTATATTTGCTTTGTATTATGGGGGATGTGTAAGTGAATCTCATTTAGGTTTTACCTTCAAGCAACTTAACTGCCTTTGTTGTTGTTGTTAAGTGCCGTCGAGTCAGTTTCAACTCATTGTGACTTTGTATAGGGTTTCCAAGAAGTGGCTGGTGGGTTTGAACTGTAGACCTTGTGATTCACAGTCCAATGCTGATCCTATAGAGCAAACTTATAGCCTAGTGTGGGGAAAAAGACATGCACATCAAGAGCCAGAATAATTAAAAGTGACGTTACTTAATGGATGCCACCTATGACTTCCTGGATGACAAGCACATTATCATCATCACATTTACTCTTCAGATAGCAACCCCTTGAGGTAAATGGTATTAGTTGACTGTACAGCAGAGGAATGAAAGATTTTATAATATAGAAAAGTTAAGTGATTGACCCATACCATCCATTCATAGAGGAGTCCTGGTGAGGCAGTTTAAGTGTTCACTTGCTAACTGAAAGGTCAATGGTTCAAACCCACCAGCTGCCCTGAGGAAGATGTAGCAGTCTGCTTTCATCCAGAGTAATTAAAGCCTTGGAAATCCTTTGGGTTAGTTTTACTCTGTGCTGAACTGCAAAGTTGGTTTGAACTATAACATCTGTGGTTCAAGGTCACCAGTTGCTCCTCGGAAACCCTATACAGAGTTGCTGTGGGTTGGAACCTACTCAAAAGCACCCAACGACAACAACATTCATATGGCTGAGTTGAGACTGCAATCTTGAGCTGTGCAAACCCTATGATCTGTCTTCCGTTGTAGTGTTAAGTACCTTAGTGGTGGGGGTGTGCCACTGTCTAGGTCCTAACAGCAACACTGCATAAGGTTTCTGACGCTGTAAATCTTTATGGGAGCAGAAAGCCTCATCTTTCTCCCATGGAGCAGCTGGTAGATTTGAACTATTGACCTTGTTGTTAGCAGCCCAGCTCATTATCCAGTATGCCAGGGTTATATAAAGAGAAAGTGTTTAGGGAAAGTAGTTTTTATCTTGGTTGCTAGGATATATGCAATATGTGATACCAGTGCTTACCAACTTTTCCCCCCTCCCTTTTCAAGACACTGGAAGAAGAGTTTGCCAGGAAGCTGCAGGAACAGGAAGTATTCTTCAAAATGACTGGGGAGTCTGAATGCCTTAACCCTTCCACACAGAGCCGGATTACCAAATTCTATCCTGTTCCAAGTTTGCACTCCACTGGGTCGTAACAATGGGGGAAACATTCTGTGATTGGGTTTTACCTTTTAAAATATGTCATTCTCTTCATCTTCTGCCCAGTCTATGTCAGATAGCTCATGGAGACAATCACCTGCCTCACCGTCTAGGTGTTTATCATTTGTTTGTTTTGTTTGTTTTAAAGCAAAGATGAAGGGGAAAGGAACTAAGACAGATGCTGGGCCATGTTGGCAGAGTGGCATCTTGCAGTAATTCCCTAAGGTGATTTTGTATATTAATCTAAAAAGATTTGTTCTTTAGACACTGTTACTTGAGAGACTGTTAGAAATAATGTTTAAAGCTATAAAAAAAAAAGAAAAAAAAAACCTGTTACATCACTTAATATCAATAAATATCTTTTTACCTGACCTAACGTCTCAGTGATGTCTAAATTCCATAGTTGAAACCCCGCCTAAGAGAGTTGAAATAATTTTCTTTTGGTGAATCAGCTCTCATGAGAAGGCTCTGAGTTGCTCAAAATTTGCTATTAATTCAATAAATAAACATATTTTGTCTCTAAACATAGGAACAAACTCTTAAAAAAGAAAATTTATTTTGTCTAAATTACCTTTTCAGTCATGAGCTAATCAGGGTGCTAGTTTTGTTACTATAGTACCTCAAACATTTACGTTTTAATCAAGTTTAAAGTGGGATTTTCTTTTCTGATTCAACAGCACAAAGTACCCTTAGCATCAACCTTACTATTGTTTAAAATCTTGTCTTATTACCATTTGATAAAAATTTTCTTCCTAAATATATGTTATACAAAGATTGGAAACATGATGGAGCAAAAAAAAAAAAAAAAAAGGATAACACTTAGATGTCCAAGTGGGAACTGTAAAGCTTAACAAACTCAAAGTGATGTCGATTTGACTGTCCTAGTTTACTTCCTAAAATAATGTGCAGACTTGTTAAATGCCTTCTCCCAAGTGCAGCAAATTGTTTATTCCAAAGTTTCTCAGCAACCTGTAGGCTGAGTTATATTTATAAATGTATGTTTTTAAATTAACCTTAAAAGAAACATTCGTTGAGAATACTTTTTAGAGACATATTTAAATGAAATATTTAGATGTTAGAAATATCTTTATTGTTTTGAAATGAGGTCACTTGTATTTTGTTTCAAGTTTAAGTTGTTTACTTTGATTAACTGGGGTTGCTGATATGTGTAATGATGAATGAAATGTGCGCTGTCTGTTCCTCTTGAGGTTAGAATGTCAACTATGTGTCAGGTCAAACAGTATTAACACCAACTGCACTTTGGTGTGTCCGACAGCACATTTACAAATGATGCTCGCTGCCTAGCCATTACTACCTAGTCTCTCTTAAGAGACTAGGTACCAAATTGTAAACGTTTCACTTTTTAGTTACATTAGATTGGAGGCTGCTGAAAAATTGAAATGAGACATTGTGGGAACACTGATTCGTATTAAGGAAATGTAAATGTCTTTAGCACTTTCTTGCAGTTAATTTTAAAACTCCGGATGCTAAAGCTTATTTTGTCAGTGGTTTAGCTGATTGAAAATGCATGTATAATTTTAATTTTATAATTGTTTTTGATAAGTATAATTTACTTGGACAACTTTGTAACTAGCCTTAATTTCTCGCCAAGTTTGTTTTTTTATATAAATATATACATATATATATTATGTATGCTGTAAATTCATACACTTACATGTTATTGTAAACAAAACTCTTTTAATGTGTTATTATCTAATGCTGGGTTGAAAATTGTTTAAAAAAAAACTTTAAAAATATATATCTTTTTGAAGTATATTCAGGATGATGATGGAAATCATTTATATTGTTTTGGTAAATATGACAGTATACTGTTGCCCAGTGTGTTTACTGATTTATTTGATTAGGGAGAGGAGAGTAAGGTTCTTAGACCACTTTATTCGTTGAAAGTTTCAGTTTAAAGACTAGCATTTTAAGCAGTGGACATTTTTTTCGGGATCATTTAAGTGATATCATGTGTGCTTAACAGTTTGTGGCAAGTCATTCATTAATTTGAATATTTAATTCTTTATATTCTTTGCAACTTGATATTCAGGTGATTGAATAGTGGAAAGGCTCGGAGTGAAATGCTTGGCACTCTGGGTAAGTGTGTTAGTGGCTCTTGCAGCTCCCTGAAAACTGCCCTTTGGATTTTGTGCTCGTTCACACGCAAATTCGATTTCAAGTATGACATATTCATGTGCGTGGGGACTATTAAGTGATACACATGTGGAGGTGAAACACTTTAATACTTAAAATTGTAGAAACCTTTTTAAAAAGTGTTTTGTTAATGGAATATGCTGTGTGTCCCCATAGCTGTCCACCTTCTGCTATGCCCTCTATTCAGGTAGATGATAGTGAGCTTTCTTGTGTAAGTTTAGGGAGGCAGTTGGGGAGAGGCAGACTTCTTTGAAATCAGAGTGCAGACAAACCCATCCTGATTTGATGGTCTTTGTTGCTATGACAGCATGTGTGATAAAATTCTTAAAAGGAATTCCCCATTTGGATACCTTAATTGCTCAGTTTCCCTTCTCCTCCCAGTGCTGTGAAGACACCAGCCCTACATGTGGACACAGGGCCAGCTCATGGAACTCCTTGCACCAGCTTGCCTTTCCCAGTCCTGTCAAGCCAGAGTTGGGTGCAAATTGCTGAATTAGCAGCTATTCTCAAATATAGTCACAATTAAGAAGCTTCTTACTCTTTTCTATGGGGAAGCTATAGGGTGGGTAAGGAAGAAATTTGGAGTGAAAATGCTAGAAAATACTAAATTTGCTGAAAATACTAGAACCTACCTGTGACAGGAAAAAGCAAATTGTAATAAAATATAAACCAGAACCAGAGCTACCTCTAAGTAGTGTTTCCTCAAGCACAAAGCTCTCAGGCATGTGGGACCCACCTTAATGGGGGTCTCTGATTTCTTGAGCATCAGCGAGTTTCCGAAGTTACTGTCTTTTGTACTCTTCTAGTTTCCTTATAGCTACACACATTTCTCCCTATTCCACACTGTGCTTAAATGACAAAGACTCTTCTGAGAAGCCAAATTGTGTCAAATGATTACCTAGAGATATTGTTGATTAAATAAAAACCTAGAAACGAGGTGAGTGAGGAGAGTTAGTTCTAGTTTTAATAGTCTTATGAGTAAATAAATCAGTTCTTTTCCAGAAAATGCTATTTTAATTGAAGCGGGATGGTATTTTAAAAATGCTTTTCTTCAGTTGAAGGCATAACAGTAATGCCTCTGTTGTTGCTCTCCTGTGGCTGACATGGTTTTGATGTACCTGTAAAACTTCAGCTCATTCGGCTTTAGGGGGTGGGGTGGGGTGGGATATGGTAGAGTGTCGTACCCGTTTCAGTGTTGGCTGCAGCTTTTTGTGATCCTACTCAACTTGCAGTGTAATCACTTCACAAGCTAAATTTTCAGACAGAATTTTGTTTCAGATTATGCTCTTGGGAGCAAACATGTCTTTTCAATCATGGGATTGACAAAAGAAAAATAAAGTTCTTTCTTAACCTATGTTGGGAAGCATTTTTTTATTGTGAATCTTGGAAAGGAGACCATTCTGTGTGACAGCACTGCGGCTTTTGTCATCCTGCTGCTAATTTCTGTGGAGTCTGTTCTGATTCAGTAGAACTGGCTCAGACCTTTCAGACCAGACCTGTCTCCCGCCGCAGCTCTCAATGCTTTCGATGGCCAAGCTTTCTGCTATAGTTGAGCACTGCCCATCAGATCTTTGGATCCTTCCAAATGTATTAAGTATTTATAGCCTCTGTCCTCAGCATCTCTCTCTCTCTTTCTCTCTCTCTCTCTCTCTCTCTCTCTCTCTCTCACACACACACACACACACACACACACACACACACACACATACACGGTTCTTCATTGGTCACTTGAAGGGAAGCCCCTTCTTTGGATTGCACTTAAGGTATTTCTTTCAGCATTTGAATATGTGCGTACTTTTTTAATTTCCTGTTTTTCCCTTGGGATGGATTGTTTTTCTCACCAAGCATTTCCCAGACCCTTTGACTTCACTTTTGCTAACCTAGTCTCTTTTTGTCATTGATATGTTCATGCAAGATTCAGCAGACAGCATCATTTGGCAGGTGTGCTCAGCACTGCTGGATGGGGGCATGTCTGTCATTTTCTAATTTAGGAGCATTGCAGGTGATTGAGCTCATCTGCTACGCCCCCCTCCCCTTTAAATGGAACAGTAGAGGCACAGACTGTGCCATCTAGCTAAGGACATGATCGATCTGCCCACATCCTCTTTCTAGGTTCTGTACCGAAAAAGTAGCAGGTTTGGACTTCTGCCATGTTTCATTTGGGCATGGAGCTGGATGAAGACTTATTGATACCCTGGTAAGGTAAATCTAGCAATTAGGGAAGAACTCATATCTGATTAAACCACATAAGAATTAGTATTCAAGCAAATATATGAATCCCTGAGCCTACTATTATAAAAGTAAGTGGATTCTGTGATGGGTTTTATTTGAAAAAACAAATCATACAAAGGCATGGTGCAATTATTGTATACAAGAGTAAGTTTTCATTAGACAGTAAAGCTGAAGTTGTTCATTTGTACCAAAACTTTTATTCTGCAGGGTTAAAGAGCTCATTTAAAAAAATTGCCATATTGGTTCATATTTAATAGCTACCAGATATATAGTAAAGGAGACAAATATACCATGGAAGTATTTAGTGGTCTTTTCCCAGGACACGATATGAGAAAACACGAAAAATTTAGTCTTAGAATAGCGTGCTGTTGTTTAAGTGCCTTCGAGTCAGCTATAACTCATAGAGACCCTGTATAGGTTTTTCAGGGAGTAGCTGATGGTTTTGAACCACACACTCGCAGCTAAAACTGACTTAGCAGTCCAGTGTTTATCCTATAGCACCATATATAAGTAGATATAATTTAACCCCATTTTAAATTGTTGCGAAATTGAGAGTTACAAAGTATAGCAATACATTTATTTATAAATTGCCTAAGTATAGCTACTTACGAATTTGAGTGTCTGGTTGTACTATACATTTTTGTGGGTCCTTTCTCTTTAGTAGGAGTTTTGATATTCCATTTGTTATTATTTGCCTGTAATTGTTTTGTCCTAGGATAAATAACTAAAGAAATTGTAAATAATCTGGTTGCTCATTTGTTGCATATGTATTTATTTCGAGTAACATGTTAGGAGAACCCCCTAGATGTTTTATAATCTGCTCAGATTGAGTTAGCCCTAGCAGATAAAGTTCTGTCTCCCTTTAAAGATCCTAAAGTGAAACAAAATGCCAGAAATAGTTCCAAAATATTGCAATTATTGTTTTCTTATGTTTGTGTTTAATAGTGTTAAGAGTCAGGCCCAGTTAACCCTGAATGTGCTCACGTATACGAGGGGGGCTTCAAAAAGTTCACGGAAACATTACAAGAGAACGGAATTTTTCTACAAACTTTTTGAAGTCCCCATCCCCACCTCGCTCTCATGTGTGTGTTATAACTTTTTCCTGGGCCAAGTGGATCACACTAACTATGATATTAAAAAAGAAAAGAAAAGAAAAAAAAACTTTAATAGGAAATTTTATACTTGAAATGACTCTTCTTTTATAGACCACATACAAATGTTTTTAGACATTGAAAAGTGCTTAAAAACCAACTCTCCACAGCCAGCCATGCTATTCTCAGTGTGCAGCCAGAGGGTAACATCTCCAGCTGAAGCCGCCCTTCCCATCAGGCATTCATGCCAGTTTCCCTCTCTCCATCCTGGTCTCCCTTCCTGTCGCCCTTCTTTTCCTATTTGTTGCAGTCTAGCATCATGTAACATATCTATAAACTCTAGTATGGACCTATGGATACAGATCAAACTAAGCAAGCGGGAAAATGATAATGTAATGAGAAATAAGAAACCCTGTTCTTTTTGACAGGGGCAGTGGATTTCTTAATTTTTCAGTTCCAAGAGTGACTTCTTACTTAGCCAGCTCTTTTCTGTGACTAGACAATACCGAGTGAAGGGGGAGAGGGAGGAGTTAGGAGCGCAGATAACCTTCAGGGAAGCACTGCCCTCCTCCCCCACTTCCAGGTTTGGAGCTCAGTTTTATAAGCAGAGCACAGATTGCTGAGCCATCATTGTGTAACTGGCTTCCCGAGGTTGAGGCTTGAGAGCTCAGCTCTAGGCAGTAAAGCAGTCAACGTTCACTTGAAAATGCTGCAACCACTCTTAAAGTCTACCCAGTGAAGCGGACTCAACATTGTTCATATTTCCCTGACATATATACATGGGTTTTGTTTCAGACTAAAGTGTTACTAGTTGCCTATTTAGCTGTGCTGTCTCCATAGTGCTGTTCTGCCAAAGGTGGCTCATGGCTTGGTGGCAATACTTCTCCTCCGTCTAGCATAGACTTGGTCACCTGCAAATTAGAGGACGAGTTGTTAGGACCATCGAGTGGGGTCTCACTTATGTAACCCTGAATAGAGTTTCCAAGAAGTGGCTGGTGGGTTTGAACCACCAACCTTGTGGTTGGCAGTCCATTGCTTATCCTACAGCGCCACACTAGGACCACAGAGGACGTGTTGTTGCTAAGTGCTGTTGAGTCGGTTCCAACTTAATAGCGACCCTGTGAAGGTTACCCAGGAGCAGCTGGTGGGTTTCAACTAATGACCTTATGGCTTGCAGTCCAGTGCTGAGCCACACCAGGAGTCCATGCCATACCAAGAGATGAGTTAAGTGCCATCAAGTTGGTTCTGACTCACATCAAGCCTGTATAGGGTTTTCAAGGAGCGTCTGGTGAGTTTAGGAGTTTAAAAAAAAAAAAAAAAAAAAAAATCTCGTGGCCTGTTGGGGATTCATGCAATTAGGGCAACTGTGTCACTGCAAAGATGAAAGTAAAATTTTTTTTTACCCTGTTTCATTATCAGGCTAGTAGGTGGGTCCCCCTCTCCGCCCTGCACTGAGGCTCCTCTCCTGTGGTCTCCCTAGCTGCTAATTAATTGTTTTGCAAAGTATGTTCTTGGCAGCATCTGCCTTTAGTAACTGGCATTCACCATCATTTTCCAGCCTTGCTCTGGAACAAATCCCCTGCTTCTCTGGAATACCAGCTTCCCGACACTCAGGAAACAAACCTTACTTACCCTTGTCTCCTTTTTCTCCCTTGTGCCCTCCAGGGCCAGGTGGACCAGGCCGTCCTGGTGGTCCTGCAGGACCCCTCTCACCTAGGAGGACAGACAGGGAGCATGGCTAAATCAGGCACAAGTGTGAGCTCTGAAGGGAGGGAACCATGGTTTAGCACTGGGGAGGGGGTTCGTTAGCATCCTGGTGGCCATTCCCTGGCATCACTTACCTCTGGGTCCTGGGGTGCCCACCTCTCCCTTCTGCCCAGGAGGTCCTGGAATGGCACCATTAGCTACAAGGGAGTAGAAATAAGCTGGCTTTAGACTGGACTTTAGGCCTGGCGTTTGGGAGGTAAAATAATCAACTTAACACAGAGGTGGTGGTGGTAGAGTTTAGATTTGGAAGAGGAGTAGAATTGATCAGGTTTTCATGATCCCAAGTGTTAACTGGAGACCTTTTAAGAGGTCCACTGTAATGGAGCAGTGAGTTTGGTGTTAGGAAAGCAATTGGGGAAGCTCTCACTTCGGAAGAAGTCCATGAGGTCCGCGGTCACGTTACTATAGGCAGAGAAGACCTTGCTGATGCCGGGGGGCCCCTGGGGGCCAGGCTGGCCTGGTGGTCCCTGCACAGTGTAGGCCATCCCTTGCAGCAGGCCCTGACCTGTGAAACACCAAAGCATGAACGTGGGAAGCAGACCGGCATTCTGCAGGGCCTCGTGGGCCGTCTCACTCCCAAGCAGCTTCCCTCGTCCCCCATGTGTCTGCACGGGTCTCTGTCTGCAGTGGGCATTCACCACAGGCTTTGGTCCAGAATAACTGCTGACAAGCTACAGGGAGAAAGGATTTAACCAACGCCTTCCCTTAAGCCCCACCAGAATACCATCTAAGACCCAGAATTTAGGGCAAAGATGCTAACTTGCTTGGACCCCCTGAGCTGGCTGAGAAGAATTAGGTTGGGCAGCCTGTTTTCAGCCCCTGCCTATCTGTCTTCACAACCTAGGAGCTCCTAATGTGATGGTGAGTTTGGAACCAAGACATTTAGGGGCTTATGTCCCCGCTTACGCTGCATGCTCTCTGACACGCGAACAGCCAGCTCATTGTAATCCAGACTTCCAGCAAAGCCAGTCCTGAATGATCCACCATCGCCACCATACAAGCCGCCTTCTGCTCCCGCCCAGTAGCCGACGTCAGTGCCGTAGGGTCCCCCATCTCCTCCAAAGGCTCCTCCTTCGCCCAGTGAGCCCGCAGAAGAGCTGTAGGAGGTGCTCCGTCTGACCGAGGAGCTACGTGAGGAGGAACCGCCGCTGCCACTTCGACTGGAGGAGCTTTCTGCTGATAGGAACCGGCTGTCTCCAGGTGGTCCCTGGGGCCCTGGAGGGCCTGGGGGGCCGACGATGAAGCTGCGCACATCAGGACCTGAGGATTGGTAGGAGCTCAGATCTTGGTATAGAGAAAGAAGGACGTTCTGGGTCCCTCCCAGGGTCTTCGTAACTTGTGACCCCTGGCAGGAAAAGGTGGCCCTGGGAGACACTGGGCAGAGACCCCCTAGTGGGTCACATGGGTTCGGGCCCCCAGCTTCCTCCAGCACCTTGCTGCCTTCCTTACAGGGAAAAGCAACATCCAGGGAGTGGACATGATTCTAGGGGCACCTACTTGTGAGGTAGCTGATCAGTTCGCTCCGGAAGCTGTCACTGTTCTCAGTTGCATAAGTCGCCAGAGCTCCTGACACACCTGGGGGCCCTCGAGGACCTGGGGGACCAGGAGGGCCTGGGGGGCCTGGGATGGATGACAAACCAGCAGCTGCATGGGAGGGAAGATAAGAGGGGTTGGGTCCTTATTGTGCTTGGAAAGGAGGGGAATAGGCTGGACCTCCAGGACCAATAGGAGGAGGGGGCTGCAGGAGCCTAGGAGACCCTGACACCATCAGTGAGTGACTCTCCTGGCTGTCCATCCCACCCCCAGTTCTGAGCCTCATTCAGCTCTGATTTTACTTGCTCCTGCCATGGAAGACTGCTGGGAACCAGAGCCTGGTGTGGCCCACAGCCACACTTCGCTCAAAGTGCTCTCTGAGTTGCCCTTGAGAACGCTGTCATCTCTCCACACTTCTGGAAGTGTGTATGTGTCTGGGGCCCAAAGTGCCCACCCTGTTCCCAGAGGACTTGGTGAGGTGCCTAATGCACTGTGCTGCCCTTGCTAAGGCCCTGAGAGCCCCAAAGGCCAGCCTGCAGACCTCTGCCCTCTTCCTCCTGGCTCCCCAGCGCCTTACTGTGCAAGTAAGATGAGAGGTCCTCCATGCTGATGCTGGACCATGCATTGCCTGGGATCCCTGGGGGCCCTGGGGGGCCTGGAGGTCCAACAATGCCTCCAAATTCAGACCCTGAGACACCAGAACAAGGAGTCATGCATGGCCTAGGCCCAGGGGGCTCACTCTCCATCCCAATCCCATGGCTAGCTGTGTCTTGCTCAGCCTTACCTCGGAGCAAGGAGAGGAGCTCCTCATAGGACGTTCCTGGCAATCCAGGGGGACCTGGGGGGCCAGGAAGCCCAATGCTGATCCCAGAACCTGGGGAAGAAAATCCCAAGTTGTGACAGATTCAGATCAAGTAGGATGGAAATACTGTGAGAGGTGGGCTAAAAGGATTTGAACAGAGTGGGAACTGAGACAGGGAAGTGGGCTGGCGACAGGAGGAGACAAGAAGCAAAGTGGCGCTGTGGGCTAATGCACTGGACTGCAGAGTCAGTATGGACTGCAAGGTCAGTAATTCAAGTTCATCGACTGCTCCTAGGAAACCCTATATAGGGTCAGAACTGACTTGATGGGATTTAACAACAGCAACCCTTTTGTGCATGGGGGAGTATGTGTTGTACATGTAAGCCAACACTCCACAGATAGGACAGTACTCAAGTCGGCTTCCCCCTCCACATTTCTTGACCTACTATGGGGTCACAGGTTTGAATCACTCTGAAGACCTTGCTGGATTGGTGCCTCCTGGGAGAAGGGAGTCACTGGGGCCATTTCAGGGAAGTTCAGCACCCAAACCCTCACCCACGGCCACCACCTGCCAACACTTACTAGACATGTAGCTGACTACGCGGCTACTCAACTCGGCATAGTCCAGAGACTGGAGGGACCCATCTCCACTGGCCCCGGGTGGCCCTGGCGGCCCCCGAGGGCCCATCAGGTACTGCTGTAGGTACTGGCGAACGTCATCCCCTGGAGAAGAGAGGCTCCTTAGTTACAGACTCACTCGGGTCACAGCCTGGCTCAGAGTGACATTCCTGAGTTGTGGTCAGCAGGAAACCAGCAGGTCTCCAGGTATCTCCTGGGACACCTGCCTGGCTGCCTGGCACTGGCGGGGATGGGGCGAGCTGCTCCCCCCTGTCCAGTCAGTTCGCTGACTAAGCAGGCTGATCAGGGCTGCAAGGCCTGGCTTCAAGGCCCAGGAAACTGCCTCCGGCGTGCAGCCCTCACCAGGTTCAGAGCTGGGTAAGACATGCCTGACAAGAGATGCTCTGAAAGGACAGGGAGGTCCCTCCCTTAACCCTCCCAGACACTTACGCTGTAGCGCAGCCAGGATGGCTTCAGAGGAGATGGAGGCGGATGCAGAACCGATACTGTACCCTGAGGCTGTCAGGAAGAAAACCGCAGGTTACTTGCCTGTCTGCTCCGAAGGAACACTCTAGGTATTCCAGAGTCTGGAAGACCTGGCCAGCTGAATGAGTGGGGGCATAACTCATTCAGTTATCATGAAATGGTTAGGCAGCTTGTTAGGAAATGCAGCTTGTTTTCAAGAATATGCTAGCTCAGCTCCTTGCAGATCCTGTCACGCTGAGGGATCTGCTTTCAAGAAGAGGAAAGAAACATCTATAATTAGGAGCACTTTGATCAAATACAAGAAGGCTCATTGGGCAGGGAGGGGAACAACCCCATTTATGAAGACAGCCCAGGGGCTGGAGGCCCATGCATTCAGAATTCACAGGCATGTTCCAGACGGAAAGGGCAACACATGAGCTGCAGCCCAGGGAACAAGCAGGGGACCTCAGGAGGAAGATGTGAGCATTCGGTTGTGGGGCAGGCTTACTTTGTAAGTAGCTCACGACGAGGCTTGCCAGTTCCGAGTAGTCAAAAGTCTCTCCTGCGATGCTGGTGACAGGCCCTGGGGGACCAGGTGGCCCCGGGGGACCTTGAACTCCAGATAGATAAGACCTAATACTGTCACCTGCCACCAGTGAAAGAAACAAAGTCAAGCCTATCTTAAAGAAAGATGTCCTTCCTACGGTGTTATCCTGAAGAAAACAATAAAGTGCTTACCTACCCTGCCCCCAACCACATGGGCCTGAGGTAGGGCGAGAGACAGCCCAGACTCCCCTTATTACAGGTGGAGAAATTGAGGCAGAGACCTCTTCTCAAGTGTGCAGGTGGCTGAATGTATGAGTGTGTGGGTCTCTTCATGGGGCGAGGGTGAGGATTTGTGTGGGCAGGTATGAGAGCCAGGCTGTGCATGGGAATGCACATCTGTGGGAGCTCATGGACCCTGCTCCAGGGGTACAAGAATTGGAGGCTTGTCATAGAGACTTCCCCAGACTCCTGAGCACACACTCACAGCCCCACTCTGACCTTAGGCTCATAGGTGCAGCACTCACTCTGCATGTACTCTGAGATGTACTGTTGAATCTCCAGGCCAGAGCTGCTGATGGAGCCTGGGGGCCCAGGAGGTCCTGGTGGGCCTGGAGGACCCTGCATGTATGTGGTGCTGGATGATCCTCCTGCAGGAAAGAAGAGTCTAAGTTGACTTGTCACCCTAGGGGTGGGACAGAGAGGGGCCCAGCATTGCTTACAAGCTTGAGGATCCCTGAGGGTCTTATTCTCACTCTGTGGGGAAAGCGGGGCAATGGTAAAAAGAAAATCCCCAGGAAGAGAGACAAGGGGTGTCTCTAACTGTCACTGAGAGGGCACAGGACTCGGGGGCTCTCCCAGGCCAAAGTCTTCCCCCTTACTCCGCGACTTGTACACCAACCCATACGGGCTTCCTCTTCTCTGAACACCCAGTCACTCAGGGGCTGGGCTCCTGTTCCCCATCATGGACCACCTGGTATTGCTATCGCTGTGCCTGTTGGAGGCCTTTTCTCCCACCTTCACTGGCCTCCTTAAAGGCAGTGGAGAGATCTTAGCACATGGAGAAGGGACCTAATCAGTACTGAATCATGGAACCAGTGGATGAATGAATGCCCTCAGTGAAATCACCAGTCTTGTTTGAAGAAATACAGAGGAACTTAGGTTCTCACCTCGAGAGGGCCCACCAGGAATGCCAGGAACACCAGGATCACCTGGAATCCCAAACAAGAAGCCCTGTTTACGTTACCTCTTCCAGAAAGTCCTCCCCGATTGAGCCGCATCACACTTGTTTGCTGTGGCTCAACACTTGTCCTATTGCACTCAGTCTCAGTGACATCACAAGCTCCCTTTGGACAAGGACTGTACGCCAGCTTCTCATTCCTTTCTCCCTCCAGCCTCTCATCATTGCAACCTTCCCTTTCTCAGAAACTTTTAGGATCAGTTAATCCTCTCTGCCGGCTTGCCTGCCCTCTATTTAGAATCTCAGAGGCTTTCAGAGTCAGCCTCGCTCCTACACCTCACCTCTCGCAGCTCACCACCTTCTTGGCTCCCTCACTTACCTTTGTCACCCTTGGGTCCCTGAGGGCCTGGGGGTCCCTGCAGGTTGAATCCAAGAGAACTGGAATCTGGAAGACAGGAAGACAGTGCAGTCAGCTACAGCGGAGAGGCTCTGGCCAGAGCATGAAAGGGGTGGGAAGTTAGCGTTTACCTGAGCTCGAGAATCCTGGGAGGCCTTGCTCACCTGAGAAGCAACATGAAAGTGGACAGTTAGCCACACTTCCCTCCCTCTAGCCCTACCCCAGTCCTGGACACCACCTCCCCTCCAAAGGCTCCCCAAGACCCATGTTTCCTGGGGCTGAGTTGTCCTTGGGGCAGTACCTAGAGCTGTTACTGTGCACATGCATGAACTGCACACTCACACACATAGATACATTGTAGAAATGTACATGCACTCAGCTGCTTTACACACATACACACACACACACACACACACAGAGAAATATCCATTCACAGAGACACACTCTCTTGTCCACTTTGGTTCTCTGGACCGAACTTATTTCCAAGAAACTCGGGACTCTTGCTAGGTCACTTGTGCCCTTCTACCTCCACCCCATATTTTGTCTGATGCCAGCTCTACTGTACCTTGGTGTCCTCGGGGACCTGGGGGCCCTGCAAGAAGGAGACAGAGAGCTATGAACCGATACCAACCAAGTGCTGGGACTTCAAGAGGCCCATGTGTGAGGAGATGGAGGCCCCAGTATGGAGGAGACATGGAGCCTGGGACTCTTTATGTCTCTCCTTCCGCTAGGCCCAGATAGGGGTGGGAATTCTCTGTATCACTTGTTGACCATATCCCACCCTTATCCCTTACTCCACTCAACTGAATCCCCCAGGACCCTGTGCTCTCAGCTGCTGAGCATCTAAGGGGACATGGAAGGAGGATCAAGAAATGTACTAGCTCATTGAGCACCATCCAGACTCTCCCAGTCAACAGTTGGGTAGACAGGGCGCGTACAGACTCCTGGGCTCCCTGAAACACTTGTTCTCACCTTGGTCTCCTTTGGGGCCTGGGGGTCCAGGTGGGCCTGGGGGCCCAGAGAATAATACTTCTGTAGAGGAAAGAAATAGTTTGAGTAAAGACCAAGCATCATTTGTGAGGAAGCAGCACCTAACACAGTGTGGCATACTATAGATGCTCAATAAATATGTACCAAATGGGTGGGTGTATGGGTGGATGCATACATACATGCAGGAATGGATAGATAGTTGGAAGAATGGATATATGGGTGTTGGAATGGTTGAGTGGTTGGATAGAATGATGAATAAATGAAACTGATAATAGAGTGATAGAAGGATTGATGGTTGAACGACTGGATCAACGGATGGTTGGATAGAAAGATGAATGAATGAATAATGAATAAATGGAAAGATGGATGCATGAATGGATTTCTCACTGGGGACCACTTCTGGGCGAATGTTGGTTTGCTCTCAACTTGTTTCCATATGTTTCTGTGTTGCACTGTCAGCATATGTCTCATTTGACATGCATGTGTTCTGCCTACTTTATCAGACCTGGGTTCTTTAAGGACAGGGACTGACTACATCTCCTCAGTAAGTCAAGAGGCTCCAAGGGCAGAACTGAGTCTCTGCCTTAGGCCAGGTTACTAGGGTAGCTAGGCTGGTATCTTTTGTTCTCCCCACATGCTGCAGGTTGCTGGAGTTTATATGAACATAGTCCTAGTGTGAAGGGCAGAAGGAGGAAGCCTGGTGAGTAGGGTAGGAAACTCACAAGTCTGTGACCACAACATGTATCAGGATTGGGGCTAAGGTGAAGAACAGGTGTGACTCAACTCCCAACATTACCTGAGTTGGTAAGGGAAGATCCTGGTGGGCCTGGTGGGCCTGGAAATCCTTCCCCTAGGTAAGAGAAACCCATAACTTATTAGGGCCAAAGTGGGGGCCTGGGACCCTTTGCCCAGGAGATGTGACAGGGAAGCTCTTTCCTGACAGGTGGCCCAGAAGGAGGCTGAGCGTTAATCTCATTGTCACCCACCTCCCATCAGAGAGCTTGGCTCTCACCTGCTGGGCCTCGGGGTCCTGGAGGGCCTGGAATGGAAGTTCCTGAAGACGAGAAAGAAGAGGAGGCAATGCCGAACTCAGCAAGGTGATCCGGCCCCTGAAGGCAATAGCTTGGCTTCCTAACTAAGTACCTGGAGTTTCCCGCCTCCCAAAGATTCCCCACCTTTAAAAGAGCCCAGAAATGCTCACCTGGTGGACCAGGTGGACCAGGTGGACCTGGGGGACCTCGTAAATCAAGACCTTCTGTAGAAAGAAGAAAGAAAAAATGAGCAAAATCGATATGAAGCTATTCTCTACCATGTTCCTTATCCCTCACCAGGATCATCAGTCCCAGAAACTCCAGCTACATGCACCCCAATTCCTGAGATACTGCTATAGGACACCCTAGTCCCCTGACTGCTCCTCACTGAGAGAATGGGGTGAGTGTCAAACTCTGATATATGCTGTGGGTGCATGTGGTGATGGGTAAGACCTTGGACTTTGGTGTCAGTTAGCCTGAGTTCAATTCTCTATTCCAACTCTTCTAGTTGGATTGGTGTTCAACCTCCTCTACAAACCAGAAGCCACGAGACCTAAACCTAAGGGTGCAGCGAGGACTCAGTGAAATTCTGGTGAATGTTAAGGACTTAGCATAGTGTCTGACACTCAGTGAGTTGTCTATTGTCATTACTGTTCCGCTGTCCAGGTGTCCACACGGGAGGCTCAGCATATCTCTCCCTGGGCTTGTTAACAGACTTTGTGAACTGAAAGGCCCAGGTGTCAGCCCTTCTTGACCAGGCCTGTGGCTAGGAACCATGGAGCCTTCTCATTGCTTTCTTTGAGTGGAGGATGCAGTACGGACATGGCCTCGCCTGACCCTGGTCCTCCTGGCATCCTGTGAACTGCTCTGACAGCTGCCCCATCCCCAGTGACTCACCCTCTCACACTAGACAAAACCCCCACTGTTCCTTGTCAGCTTTCACTGCCTTTAGAGGAACTGGTCATCCTCACATTGGGATCTGCCCATTGCGCCACCTGCCCGGGAAAGCATGGTGGTACTCACGTGCAGAGAGGACCTCGGAGATGGAGCTGCTGCTACTCATAAATGACTCACCAGCAAGCCCTCGCTCTCCTCGTGGGCCTGGGGGGAGGACACAAAGTTAGGCTGGACACTGCGATCCCTTTGTGCTTTTCCTCTGGAGAGGTCCTGGAGAGTGCCCCAGTGTCCAGGTGCTGAGGTGCAGGGTATGCCCACTGGGAGAGGGCAGGGGTCATTGAGTTGGCTGGAGAGAATGGACCATGCTCCCAAAGCCTGACTGTTTAAATAAGTGGCTGGGCAGTGGCACAATGACCAGGGACTGGAAGTCCATGAGGATAGTCCTGCTCAATCCTGATCAGCGTCGCAGCACTTTCATCTCCCTGTTGGGGTTTAGCTAATAGAGTCTCTTCTGGAAAATCCCTGCCTTCTCAGGAACATGGAAGGAGGTGGTGACTGAGAGGGGACACTCACCTTGCTGTCCCGGGAGACCAGCTGGACCAGCAGGGCCTGGAAACAAGGTTGGGGAAGAAAAGGCTAAATCATTCCTCCAGGATCACAGTTCTAGAAAGAACTGAAAAAAAGGGCAGGCAGCTGGGTACACACATGGCTTCCCTACAAGTTATGAAACAATGGCCGAGGGAGATCAAGTGCTTATTTGAGAGCAGTAAGGACCAAGGACCAACCCTTGATCCATCTTGGCGAGACCACCTCTGACAGGCACGAGGGTCCTGGGTAGGCAGAACCACCCTTGCTGACATGGCCTTGAAGTTTCCCTAGTGCCCTCCCACTGGGGCTTGTCTGGGGGAAGACTGGTACCTTGGTCGTGCTAAGCTGTATGCTTCATTTATACATGCAAATTAAAAAATAATGTAAAAAATACACACAACAAAATAACAGGCATTTTGGAAACAGCGTCCCTAATTCTTCAACGTGTGAGCCTTTTGTGTTATTTCCCATCACCATTTTTTTTCTTAACATCTTGTGAACGTAGAGTGGTAATCACAGAGTGCGTAGCGCCTTTATTGAACACCCCACTTGTAAAAATAACATTTAACTCCTAGGAACTTTCTTCTAAGGTTTTCGTATTTTCTTAGCTATCTAACTGTTGCTGGACAATCTTGGAATCTTTTCTTCGAGTAAATTTCTAGCATTTTACTGCCCTTGATGAATCTTACCAAGTTGTTTTCCAAAAGGAAACAAAGGGCTTGAGGACTGAGTGTTTTGATTGGCCAAACAGGAAGAACCTGAGTCAAATCCTGGCTCTGCTTTGTATTACCCATGTGACCTCACTAACACCCAAAGCAAAGCAGCTGCTCTTGAGTCCATTCTGACTCACAGCGACTCTACAGGACAGAGTGGACCTGCTCCATAGGCTTTCCAGGATCACAAATCTTGGTTGTTGTTGTTGTTGTTAAGTGCTGTCAAGTTAGTTCCAATTCATAGTGATCCTGTGTAGGGTTTCCAAGGAGCAGCTGGTTTTTGAACTGCCGACTTTGTGTTTCAAACTGACTTTCCATTCAGTGCTTTATCCCACAGTGCTATTGTTGTTGTTGTTAAGTGCTGTTGAGTTGGTTCCGACCCACAGCAACCCTATATAGGGTTTCTGAGGCACAACTGGTAAGCTTGAACTACCAGGAGCAGAAATTCTCCAATAGAGCAGTTGGTGGGTTTGAACTGCTAATCTTGCAGCTAGCAACCCACTGTTTAAGCCACTGCACTACTAGGGATCCTGAGTGACCTTGTTGTTGTTGTTGTTAAGTGCTGTCAAGTTGGCACTGGATAGCGTTTCTGAGGACTGGTATAAGTCATTTACCTATGGGGCCCCAGCTTCCCCATATATACATGCAGATAGCAGCTCGGGCCTCCCACGGAGCTGCGAGGGCTGAGTGAAGGCGTGCCTGCAGAATGCTTGGCATAATTTCTGTGCAGAATGAGGCTCACTCAGGTATCTGAGAAGGATAACTGGCCTACTTCACTATTTGAGAATAAGAGTTGGACTTTCTCAGCCTCGCCTGAGTTCCTGCCCTGACTTTTAGGAGTTGAACAAATACATCTAAAGTCAAATGCCACCAAAACTGGCTGCTGATTTGGGACAAAGCAAAGTAATCATGGACTGACCTGGTGCACCTGGAGGCCCTGCAGGTCCCATAGCTCCAGGAGGTCCTGGGGGGCCTGGGACGGTGATAGTCGATGACCCCTCTGAAAACAGAAGGCACATGGGAGACTGAGTCACCCTCTTCTCCTTCAGAGCATCTGGGACCCAAGTGTAGCCATTGGCCCAGGGCCCTTCCTCTCATCAGCCCAGGGGTGGAAGGAAAGACCTCACTCGCTGCTAACCCCAAGAATTCACCACTCCATCAAATCCAAAGCCCTGTGCCTGCAGCGGGCACTTTTTGATGGGTGCTAGGTGGAGACAAGACAGATGCCCCAACCCTGAGAAGGAAAGACATGCAGAGGAAGATCCCTCTTGGCTCCTACCTGCAGTTACAATCCTGCCTGCAGTTCCGGGTTCCCCTGGGAGGGGAGGAAAAAAAGGAGATGGGGCTCAGTAAGTCATTTCAAGGCTTCTGGGGGCATTTGAGACCCACTTCTGGACCTTTCCCCCGAGACTGAAGGCTAATGGACTGGAAGGGAGTGAGCAGGTGCATTGAGAGCAAGAGATCTGCGTGCTGGAGCATCCGCCTTCCTGTCCACATTAGCTTTTGCATGAGGCTAGGACTCAGCGAAGGGGCTTTATGCATCTGACAGTTTGGAGAGTATGCCTCTCAGTGAGGCCAAAAAAGAGCCAGGCTGAGTTCCAGTCAAACTTCCAGACTCTAACTTCTCTCACAACGAGCCACACAAGAAGGAAAATGTCTGCCAAAGGACAGAGGTGGGAAGCTCAGGATAGAGTGGGTCCCCAATGAGCTGCACAGCAGTTTAGACCCCTGAGACAGCAGTAGGTGTCCAGGGACTGGTATGTTTGAGAAATCCTGAGTAAATAAAGGTTAACAGATCGTGTGCCTGCCCTGTGTCTCAGGTGTTGAAAATGAAGCCTGAGTAGTGGATTACTAAGAAAAGCACAGTGCATTCACACCTTTCCAAACGGATGGGCCACTAGCTTCCTTTTCAGCAAAGGATCTCTTGGGACTGGAGATCCAAGGGCTCACTTGGAGAAACCAAGCAAGAGTAGAGGACAGCAAAGCCCTTCAACTGAGGACTCTTTAGGGACCTTGCTTCTCGTTCTTCAAGGTCTGTGAGCAATTAAATCATCCACATGATGAAAGGATGATATTGATTTACCCCTTAAGAGGAAGTAGACAGTTGGTCTCTACTTGCTGTCTCTTGGAATTAAGACCAAGAGAGGAGAAATTACTTGAATCTGTCTTGTTGAACTACAGTCCACATTCAGTACTGTCGTCTCTTTTGTGCATAATCTAGGGAGGGTGTGAAGCACAGCCTCTCAAGAAGGGTAGGGCTTCTGGAATGCTTGGGGATCTCAAATCCAACTGGTCTGTTACAAAGGAAACCCTCAGTCCATGAAAATTTCTGAAACACAGAAATTTGTCTGACTGGCTTGTATGAACTCAGTTGTCATTATCTTGAAACTAAATTGATTCTGAAAAAAAACAAAAACAAAAACAAAACAATACAAAGCTTCCTTGGCCTAACCTATCATTGGGAAAGTAATTTCTGGAAACCAGTAATTTTACTTCTAGGGTTCCACCAAGGGTGACAGTTACTCATCACAACAGAGTCCTGTTCCACAGAACATCTGGGTTTAGGAACATAGTGTAGCAGAAACAAGAGCAGGACCATCCCTGAGCACCATTTATTCCTGGACTAATTCATGTCAGGGGTCTGATGGTACTGAACTGGACTATGGGTAGCGGAGCAGAACAGGACAAGAGAGTCCCTGGCATCATGACCCAGGTCTCTGTCAAACCTCACATTGAGGAGCAATTCCATTCCCCTCTTAGTACCCTTACTCTTCTGTCTTATTAGCACTGTGTACAGTCTCTGCCTGTATCAAAGTTCTCTCTCAGAAATGATTTGTCTACCTAGCCACACCAAGGTGTGTGTGAGACTGAGATGTTCCCAGGGGAACAGTCATGTGAGTGGGGAACCAAGCCTCAGCTGTGGGGATAAAGCAATAATGGGGACATTGTAGAGTCCAGTGTGAAGAGGGACACTGAGGAGAACAGTGTCCCTCCTGGAGACATTTGCCTATTAAAACCAGGCTCTGGTTTGTGGGGTGGAAAGAGAGTGGAGTGGGTGGGGCCTGAGAATTCAAGGCTTAGCTGCTTAGAACAAACTGGACTCCCCAACCTCACAGTCTTCTGCTGGAGCCACTAGATGCCACTGTTGATCAGGGACTGGCCAGAGAGGTGCCTCCCTCTTGCCAGTCTCTTCCTCTGCCACACAAATGGCTGATGGAAAGACAGAGTTTAGAAAACCACTTACCTTTAGTCCCTGGTCGGCCGGGGATACCAGGAAGTCCTGATGTGATTGAAAACAAGTAAGTCAGAGAGAGAAACCTTCTTCAGTATTAATGAAAGCCCTGGCCATTCAGCACAGCACTGTAGCTGACTGAAATCCTGAGCGTTCCCTGGGCTTTGTCTTCTGCTTTAGCCCAGGTGGCCCCTCTGGATGCCTCTTGCTCTGATTCCTTCTCCCTCTTCAGGAAAAGGGGCAGCCACTGGGCTTGAGGAAGGCAGAGGTCCATGGACTCAGCTCTGGGGGATCCCAGTCTGAGTGATTCATCTGGTGGTCTTCAGTGCTCTCCACAGACCAGTGGCTGGTATTCTTGTATCAAATCCTATTCCTCTCTCTTTGCCTTATTGACCCCTAGCTCACCATGAGTTGGAACTGACCCCATGACAACTGGTTTGGCTTGGGGCTCAGAACCTGTCCAGGAGTCAGGCTGAGTCTGCAGAATTGCTGGAGAACATTTGAAGTGTGTTAGGGTTGCATACAATTTTGAGGAGCCTGATGCTTGATTTCATTTTGCATCTTTGCCTAGTCTGTAGGAGTTGGGGCTGATGTAGTGACAATTTCCCAAATCCAAATGGGTACACTTTGGTCAAACTGTAGGACAAGCTTTAACATGGAGGCTGCAGAGAGGCTGGCCCTTCTGAACAAGGGAAGTATCCACTCCTAGCCATGCCAGTTGGGTCATAAATCTTTACAGGAGGGGTCTCCTCATCCTCACAAGCCTGGGGTCTCCTTTTGGGGACTCCTATACTGGTGACAATAGATTCAGTAGATGACCTATGTGTGTTTCTACCAGAATGGCTTTCCAGATGGAAATTTTTTCTTCCTTTCTCAAAAGTCATAATAAAGGACCTGAACCTATGCTTGCTGAGGTGAGAGGTGTAGGGACGTGGAGGGCGGAAGAGCGAGGACATTCTAAGGTGACTGGAGGAAAAGCATTTGCTGCTGTGTCTGTGTCTGGAGGAAGTGGAAGGGTCAGCAGGTGGCATTTGGAGGTGGGAGTTGCTGGTGACTCACCCTGAGGTCCTTGGGGTCCAGTGAGGCCTACAGGAAAGAAAACACAAGAGAGAAAGATGGCAGATTGAAGATGTCCTTAAGGAGTCACACTCAACTTCAGGGGAAGGTGGACACACAGACTGGGAGTGCAGGATGACAGCCTCAGGTCTGGCACAACCTGACTTCAGTATCTTCCCAGCACAGTACAAGGAACAATTCTTGGAGCTTTATAACGACGGGACTTTCTGCTCCACTGAATGATGGTTTCTGTCTACTTGTAGCCACAGCTGCTTTCAGAATCTGAGGTGAGCCATGAATCCAGAAAACTTAGATGCACAGACACCAATCACCCACCCAGGCTCCTCAGGGGAAGAAGCTTTGGTGCTCCCCATCTATGCACCGGTCAGAGGAGCCAAGCAGCTCGCCCTGCCCCTCAGACTCTCCCTTTCTGAACTTGTTTTGGCTTCTTATTTCCGTAGCCCCGATCATCTTGCTTTGCCTTTGATGGGGGCTCTAAAGTCTACTGAGTATTGGTGAGGTCTAGATATGAGCCAAGGAGAGATGGGTCAGAGGAGAAGGGTTCAGAAGAGTGGATATTGAGGTGACTTCCAACTACAGTTTTTAAGAGAGTCTGTGCCCTTTTCTAGAACCCCTTGCTTTCAGCTGTGAATCTCTCTCTACTAAATTCCCAGACTTGGTGACTGAAAGGTGCCAGGCTCCCCCATCAGTGCACATAGCAAGAGAACTAATGTCCAGTTTCTTAGTTAGGGTAGTTCCCGGCTGAGCTGCTAGAAGAAATGGGATAAGACACCCACAGGCACACACACACACAGAGCAGGGTGGTGACTTTTTCTTTCTGCTGTTACCTGGCTTTCCTGGGTCTCCAGAAGGTCCTGGTGAGCCACGGATTCCAGGCATCCCTGTAAGACCTTGTTCACCTAGAAAGAGCATGGTCAGTATGAAGATGCTTTCCATTTAGAGACACTGACCTGCCCAACAAACTTGAGCAAATGACTTCTTGGGGTTTTATTGACTGCCTTGCTGTCAGGCGGACAAGAGAAATGGGAACCAGAATGGATATTTCCTCTGCTTTATAGCTAAGGGGACAAGAACTTTACCCTGAGACATGGGTAGGCCATGGAGTGGGAGGCAGGGGAGGGAGTGACCTCAGTGATAGGGAGATGAGTAGCTCAGTGACCAACCTCTTGGGCCTTGTTGTCCATCAGGACCAGCAGGACCTGGGAAAACAGAACCAAAGTCACTTTTGGAGGTATTTCTGTCCTTCTCTCCCACTGCTGGTCCAACAGTTTCAAAGCAAATTATCTCCGAGGTGGGAAGTCCATGGCAGCCCTTCCTGACACCATCAACAATGGCAGGAGCTCCATCTTTGTTACACCCTTAGACTGTAGCTTTCTCCCTGTCTTCTCCAACAGAAGTCATCGTGCATCTTCCTGCTGAGAATTGGTCAGTCACCCCTGCCTCACTTCCCCAATGCCGATCATGGAGGCTCAGCACATATTTGATGCTCCATAAATGTCTGTGGGCTATGACCAAATGCCAGTAATGCCACAGTCCTCTGCCTGGCTTTTAAGGTCTTCCAAGTTCTTGTCTCTACTACCTAGGCATTATTCTAAGCTCTAGCCAAAGTGGTGTCCTTTTGTGAGCAGGTCATGAATTCTGTCCTGTCTTTGTCTTTCCTCAGGCTGCCCCTCACACTGGCAACCTCATGAAACTCTTCCTAACTTTTTACATCATTGGACCCCCTGACTCCCCGCCGATGTTGCCCATCATCCTAGCTGGAAGAAATCTTTCATTCCACTGTATCCTCAGACCCTTGGAACCTTTCATAGCAATTGGCCTCATCCAACTTCTCTCTCCTGTTAGGTTGTTAAGTATCATCGAGTCCGTTCTGACTCATAGAAACCTTATATAGGGCTTCCAAGGAGCCACTGGTGGGTTTGAACCGACAAGGTTTTGGTTAGCAGTCCAGTGCTTATTCTATAGCTACACACCAAGACTCCTTATTTCTTCTAGATGGACATAAAGTATCTTACTGGCCCAGTGCAGTATCCTGCATACAGTTAGTGCTTACTAACTGTTAAAATGAATGAGAGAATGAGTACTTTTCCAAACCCCAGTTGGGACATGATGCTAAACACCTGACCCTCTCAGGGTCCTTGGTCAACTTTCCATATCCCGGTGGACAACTACCTCAGTCAAAGCCAGCAAACAAGCTATCACCTGGTTCTGTCTTTGAAACTGGATTGGGGTCCTAGGACTGTGCCTAGGATACTGGGGATTCCAAAGAACCTCATACTTCTCTGCCTCCCAGGTTCCTAGGGAGCTTAGTGTCCTGCCACACTCTTGTTGGAGCAGTGAACCCTAAGAAGGATGCCAGAACCCAGAAAAGACCTGTAAACTGAGACTCTCTCAGGGAGCAGACAGATTAGAGAACAGGAAGAAGTAATTCTGAGAAGAAGGTTCTAAACTCTATAGGGCCACAATGACCATTCCAATAGGGCAGATTCAATATGCTCCTTTGGGACACTCACCCATTGCTCCTTTAGCCCCAGGCTCGCCTGCAACACCAGGCAAACCTCTCGTGCCAGGTTCGCCTGCAAAAGAAAAGGGAGTAGTAGGTGGTGGGAAGGTTTTAAGCTCTGAGTCCTTCACAATGGTAGGATGTTCCCATCCACTCCCACTACCCCAGAGCCTGCTGTCTCCTCTACCAGAAGATGCCAGCCCAGGTCTAGGGAAGCAGCTTCTGCTTTCATTTCCTGCTCGGGGCCACATGACTTCTCCAGCACAGATACAGAATACCCAACGTCATGCCTGGTCTGAAGGGGCACATTTACTAGTCTTAATTCCTTGGAAGTAGAAAGATGCCCCTTGTAGCCAAACTATTGTGTTGTTGTTGTTAGGTGCTGTAAAGCTGATTCCAACTCATAGCGATTCTTTGTATAACAGAATAAAACACTCCAAGTTCGGGGCCATCTTCACAACTGTCATGTTTGAGTTTATTGTCGCTACCACTGTGTCAAACCATCTCATTGGGGGTCTTCCTCCATTTCATGGACCTTCCACTTTACCAAGCTGATTCCTCTTTATAATATGTCTGATGTATGAGAGATGAAGGCTCACCAGCCTCACTTCTAAGGAGCATTCTGGTTGTACTTCTTCCAACACAGATTCCTTTGTTCTTCTGGCAGTCCACGGTACTTTCAATGTTCTTTGCCAACACCATAATTCAAATGCATCGATTCATTGGTCAACTTTCATATGCATATGAGGTGATTGAAAAGACAAAGGCTTGGGTCAGGTACAAAGGATTGTTGTTATGTGCATGGAGTCGGTTCCGACTCAGCGACCCTGTACAGGGTTTCCATGGCTGTAAATCTTTACTTGAGCAGAGAGCCTCATGTTTCTCCCGTGGAACAGCTGGTAGGTAGTTTTGAACTGCTGACCGTAAGATTAGCAGCCCGATTCGTAACCACTATGCTACCAGAGCTCCTTAGGTATAAAGTGTTAAGTGCCATTAATTTCCCTTTAGTCACACAGGTTAGCAGAAGGTAAGTGGCAGAGAGGGTATAAGTGATGTGCAAACTTTCTGCTACTTTGGGAAGAGTTTCATTCTACCAACTATATTCCCCATAAGAATCAGGGACGATCACAAACTCCTTTTTCTGCCCCAAACATTTATTCTCTGTATGTTCTGATGCTTGGGTATTCTCACTCAGTGCTTTACATCTTCTCTTGTGTTTTTGCTAGATTGGGAGCTCCCTGAAGATTTTACACAGAGAATCTGACTCACATGCCTATGTTTCCCCCACTGTCTGTGCACAATGGATTTTTAAAAGTCATGAATGAATTCAGTAGATCCCTATGTAGGACTGACCTACCTGTGAGGCCTCGGGCTCCTTTCTCGCCTTGGTCACCTAAAATAGGGTGTGGAGAGGGAGGGAAGAAACATCAGTTGGGAGCAAGGAAGACAATCTCATCCAGCAATAGGGATCCCTGGGCAGGAAACAGGTCGCAGTGTATTTGAAACTATTGGCAGGTAGGTTAGCAGGAGGTTGACAAGAGCGTAGCACAACTGCAGCCATTGGAGCATGCTGGACATTGGAGCATGCTGGACCTCTCTCAGGGGCTGGTGCTGCTAACTGACCGCCAGTCCCTGCTGTTACACAAATGGCGTTGTGGACACAAGGACGACAAGATCAGAGGCCTCCCAAGGACCACTAAGCCATGGCATTGGGCATGTTGAATCTCTGTGTGTCTCAGTTTCCCTGTGGGCGAGGTTGGACTAAAATGAACTCCAGGCCCAGGATTCAGAGCCATCTCTGTTCTCTGACACCGGAGCAGGGTTCACAGGGACTAACTGAGCAGCAGCATGGAACAACTTACCTTTAGATCCTGGTGGTCCCATAAGTCCTTTGTCACCTGAAAAGGAAAATTGATACCTCGGTGGGGATGCCGTAGGAGGGGAGGTGTTTGTCTCTGAAGACAGGCTTCTACTCTACCCTAGCCTCCTCTTCCCAACACTCATCTGTTGATTTACAGACTTCAGGTCATAGCCATCAGAACTTCTCAGACTCCCTTCTTGACTAAGAGATATATACAAAGTGATTACCCCTTCTCCTCAAGCCCTCCCTGCCAGCTTACCTTTGACCCCAGGGAGTCCCACTTCACCTCGGAGCCCTTGGGGACCTATAGAACCTGCCAAGCAGAGGAAACCATGCAAGTGGATGAGTGTCATTAGTTTTGGAAGGAATAAACACACACATACATAAATGGCTGCTTTGCCTCTTCCCTGAGAAACCACCCTTGCTCAGGTTCCTTGCCCCTGCAAATGACCAGGCCCTGGGTATAAGAACACCTTGTAGTACCCCGACAGCAACATTGCCCTGCATTACCATGCAGGCTGCAGCTGAAATTCTCAACAGCAGGATGAGTTCTTTGTCTCACAGGGAATGAGACGGAGGGAAACACTTTGCTAAGACTAAGGTAGGATGAGAGCTTTCTACTGCTGAAGTGCTGGACCAGAATAGGTGTGGACATGACCCATCAGGGCACTCAAAGTCAGCCACAGTGGGTGCACAGGTGCAGACTTGAGTAGTTTTGTGTCTCTAGGAAACTCTTCATGTAATTTCCTTTTTTGTCTACAAAAATGTTTTTAGTTTTTTCTTTTAAGTTCCCTTTGTTTTCTCCACAAATCGCATGTGTTTACCAGCAGAAGCACCTCACCTGGGGGTCCTTGAGGGCCAGGAGAACCATTGGAACCTGAGAAAGCAGATGACACAGTGATTAGCCAATAGGTCAGGCACAGGCCAGGGACATCTGTTCCCAGCTATGATGGGGAATGGGAAGCTCACTTCCAGATAAGGACTATGTGTGTGTGTTGGCCACATTGTGGGGTTCTTGCCAGGACTCCAGAAGTCAGCAGGTCCAGGAATGGCCCCATTGCAAAGTCCTCCTTAGGAGGATGCTGCAACTGGGATGGATCAGGAGATCCTTCCCCTTCAGATAAGACATTAGGACTCGGCAGAGGGGAGGAAGGAGAGGTGACTAGATGGGCATCAAACTGTGAGAAGGGTCCATTCCCCCTGGGCTGTCACATATGTTGCTCATCTGGTCCTCACTCAGCTGAGGAAATTATCTGACTTCTGACTTCCTGAATGACCTATCCGCCCACTTAGGAACCACTGTGCTTGCGCAGGTCCGAGGCACTGGACCAGGGCTGTCTGGGATCCCAGTTCCTGGACCTCTGTGGTCCATCCTGGATATAACCTTCTCCCTGGGAAACTTGGCTACTGTCCTGGGCACTTGACTTACCTTTGGGACCCACAGAACCTGGGACACCAGGTGGACCATGAGGTCCTGGCTCACCAACAGGCCCTGAGGAGAAACGATGGAGTGAGCCCGTGGGAGAGTCCTGTTTGGATGCCCTCCAGCCTGGCTATGTCATGTGGAAGTCCACAGTTTGGATGTCCCCCAGCCCGGCTGTGTCATGTGGAAGTGATGTTTCCTGCCCTGCTAGTGGTCTCAGAGGAATCTGGTGCCTCTGTGAGGCCATTGATTAGCAAAACAGTTTGCTTCCATTTGCTCCTGCCTCAGAGATGGTAGATCCCAGGGAGGCTGGCATCTAGAAGCCACTCAGCAATTGGTTATCTGATTGACCAGCTGTCTTGTTGACACTTTCTAGGGATTGAGAGACTTTCTGGCGTCTATGCTTGTTACCCCTGAGAGAGTCAGGGGTAAGAATTGAATTTCAAAGCTCCACAATCCCCTCCAGTCTGGTTCTGTATCTCTGGGGGCTTCCCCTTCTTCCCTGTGGGGGTTCCAGCCAAGAGGTTCTTAGGGCCTGCCCCCAGACTTCCCACCCAGCCCTCCACATAACCCATTCTCCACCTTTGCCCTGAGTTCTCACTCTCCTCTGCACCCCACTGTAGGCAGAACACCATCTCCCTGAAATCCCTTTCTCCATGGATTTGGAGCAAGCAGACTGGTCTATGCCCCAGGCTGGCCCCACAGCCAGGCTTGCCTCCACTCGTAGCCCACTGTCTTCCCAGAGCCTAACACAGACGCTGGCTCAAGGCAGGTGCTCCATAAAGGCTACAGGAAGAAGAAGGGAAAGAGAAAGATGAAAAGAAGGAAGGCTATAGTTAACCCTCCTGGTGAAGGAATTTCCTCTTACCTTTGTCCCCTTTCTCGCCAAGCCCAGGAGGCCCTGGGTCGCCACGGAGTCCTGGAGGACCTTCTCGGCCTCTCTGGCCCATGGGTCCCTCCATGCCAGGCTCTCCTATGGACACAAAAGCCAACCTCAGAGTTGGGGTCTGATCCCAGGCCCAGCTAAGGGCTCCACTGGCAGCGTCTGTCTGGCAGAAGGCTTGCCTGGAGCCCTTCACTGGTTTGCCTGCTTCTGCTCTTGCTCCTATAGCCTAGACTTGAGCCAGAAGCCAGAGGGAGCCCAGAAAATGTTAAGTAGATCGTGTCTTAAACCTGCAGATGGCGTCTTGACTTTGAAGTGGAAGGAAGTCCTTCTGTTGCCTCTAGACCCCACGTGACTAGCGGGACCTCTTCACTCACTGGTCATTGGAACACTTACCCGATCTCCATCCCTCTAAGTCTGCACAAACGGCACCTTCTAGCCCCGACACCCAGTGCAGGTCCCCTCAGCACGCCCTGTGTCACTGCCAGGCTCTGTCCTTACACACCATGTGCAGGCATACCTCCTTTACTGTGCCTCACAGATACTGTATTTTTTACAAAATGAATGTTTGTGGTAACCCTGCATCAAGCACGTCTACCCGGCCCATTTTTCCAACAATTTATGCTCATTTTGTGTTTCTGTGTCACATACTGGTAATTCTCACAAGACTTCAAACTTTTTCATTAAGGCTACTGAACACTTAATAGAACGTATATATATGGAGTCCTGGTGTGGCGCTGTGGGTTAATGTGCTGGACTGCAAGGTCAGTTTGAACCACAAGGTCAGTGGTTGAAGCTCAGCAGCCACTTCTTGGAAACTCCATACAGGGTCACTAAGAGTCAGAACTGACTCGATGGCACTTAACAACAACATATATTTATGTATAAACAAACCAACAGCCATCGAGTGGGTTCTGACTCATAGTGACCCTGTCTAGCATTTCCAAGGCTGTCAATCTTTATGGGAACAAAAAGGCTCATCTTTCTCCTGAGGAGCAGCTGCTGGGTTTGAACCACCGACTTGTGGTTAGCAGTCTGGTGCTTGTCCTACAGTGCCACCAGAGCTCCTTAATCAACTACAATATAGTATAAACATAACTTTTATTAACACTGGGAGACCAAAAGTTCTTATAATTTGCTTTATTGTGATAGTTGCTTTATTGTAGTGGTCTGGAATGGAACCTGCACATAGGTTTGCCTGTACTTCACATATCTATCCTGTTTATTGTCTTTTTCTCCAGCAAAAATGTCATTTTCATGACAACAGGGGTTTGTCTGTTTTGTTCACTGATGTTTCTCCAACACCTAACAGGCTCTGACACACAGCAGGCACTTAACGTTGAATAAATTAATGAATGAAAAGAATGGTTCTTACCCACACTGCCTTTCTGTCCCTTTGGTCCTTCAGGACCTGGGTGGCCCAAAAGCCCAGGGATACCTGTGGATTATACAAGAAAACTTCAGCCCTTAGTTTCTTCCCTGAACCTGGCAGCCAGGACTGAGCAGCTTACAACACTAGAAGCTCCATTTTTTACAGTAAGCGGGGAGGTCACCAGTGTCTACACACCTGGAGTCCCAGGGAGTCCTCGATCACCTGCAGGGGTAGAAGTACAAGAGAGAAGTCAGCCAGAGGACTAACTAAAGACCCAGTTCCCTAAAAGAACCACAGGTGGGATTCAAGCAGGACTGCCACATTTAGCAAATAAAATGTATAGGATGCCCAGTTGAATTTGCTTAGTCTAAGTGTGACTCCAATATTGCTTATCATACTTATTCAATAAGATATTGCATGGGACATGCTTATACTAAACAAGTATTCATTGTTTCATTGCAGTATAAATCTAACTGGGCATCCTATATTTTATCTGGTGATTCTAGATTTAGGGGCTCTGGAACCATCAGTCCCCCTCCCGAGCATGATCAGGTAGAGTGTGGCCACCAAGCTGGTGCCTTGGGAAGAGCAGTGGGCCAGGGTGTGTGCCTGGAGTGAGGGCTGGGAAATCTTGTAGAGAATTAAAGCAAAGTGGAGGACCCCCTGAAGGACTCCCACTCTTGGACTGTAGGACCTGTTGGGAAGGAGAGTGGAGCTGGAGAGAGAGGGGGGACCTCATCACTGGGGCAGTGATCCTCAATGTGGACACACTCATGGGTGATCAAGAACACAGACTCGTGGCCCCACCCACACCTACTGAATCAGAGGCTCCGAGAGTGGGGCCCAGAATCTCATACCAATTGCTGTATACACTGTTACTAGCAAAGCATCTAAGTGTGGGAACTTTTTTCTGCCAAAATGTATAACTTCACTCACTGGCCATATAAAATTATCAATTTAAAAATTAGCTTGCTGTATTTCAAACCACCAGCTGCTCCTTGGAAACTATACAGGGTTGCTATGAGTCAGAACTGACTCAATGGCACTTAACAACCACAATAAATGTGATGGCTGGAACTGCAGTTGCCTTGGCAGGGCCAGACCAAATGATTTTGTGGGTTTTATATGGCCCATGGGCCAGATGTTCCCCACCCCTAGCTAAATCAAGGAGAACTAGCTGCTTTGTGGTCAGCCTGAGGCTGGGAACCTGCCCTTCCCTCCTCATGCACCTGTCCTATCAGTTGCCCACGTTTCTGAGGAAAAGCATCAGTTTCCTAAGTACCTGAGTGCATGCCACATTATCTACTGGCCTACACTGTGGGGGCGCCTTACCTCTTCTGCTAGACTCAAGTCCCCTAAGGGTAGATGACATTGCTCCTATTGGATTCCCCAGATGGGAGCTCCATTCCTGACTGCTGAGTTTACCAGCCTCCCACATCTTACACCTCTGAGTGAAATGTGCTCTGCTCATGCAGTGGTGCTTCCTGACCTGGGTCATCAGAATTGGTTCAGGAGGTGAGGGACAGAACCCAGGAGTCTGTGTTTCTAGACCTTTCCCCAGGTGGTTGTGATATATATGAGGTTCAAAGACTGCCCTTTGGAGCCTGAGAAGACAAAGGCCCTTGATGGAGGTCACTTCAGGACCCTGAACATTGGGGGGTGGGGAGAGATCCCTGGAGTCCTTAGAACAGGCCAGGGCCAGACTGCCCCAGAGTTACAGAACCCTGCTTAGTCACGACATCTTCTCCCCGACTCCACTTCCCTGCCAAACAACCTCAAGGGTCTTGGGCTGCCTTGCTCTTCATGGGTCCTACCACGGACAGGTGGTCAGGAAGAGTGTGAGCTGGGTCTCCTGACATCAACTGACTGCTTTAAATGATCAGCCTTCACTCGCATTTAAGGTAGAAATGTCCATGTTGTATTTACCTTTAGGACCTTGACTTCCCATGTCACCTAAAGTCAGAAAGAGATGAAAACTATGAGATGAGGTAAGAACCCAAGAGCGTTTCCCTCCCTCGTATTCTTCAAATCATTCAACAAGATTTTGGAGTGAGGCATTTGGTGTGGTTCCTCAGGCCCCTTGTGCCCCATGGGCCACTTTCAGATGATCCCTTAGGCTAAGTCCCGCTCTAAGAGATTCCTCCCAACAGTAAGATCATTCAATCCCCCCAGAAAGCTGAGCTTTTTACAGAAAGGAGAGAATACCTTTCGGGCCAGGGCTGCCTCGTAGATTTCCTACAAAGGAAAGTGAATTCTAAGTTAATTTTATATCTTTTGTGTCCCTCATTCTCTCTCTCACACACACACACACACAAACACACACAAGAAGGGCTCAGTTGGGGAAAAACAGAGACTAGGATTAGGACTTAGATTCCAAACTGTTCTAATGTTGAGATCTTGGGTAATTCATTGCTCCAGGCCTCCATTTCCCCAGTACAGTGACATCACTGTACTGGCTCTCCCAGGGCTACTGAGAGGATTAAAGGAGGTGCCTTGAGTAGTGACTTGCTCCCACCAAACCCAACCCACAGTCATCAAGTCAATTCAAACTCCTATAGACCCTACTACCTAGGATTTCCGAGACTGTAAATCCTTATGGGAGTAGAAAGCCTCATCTTTCTCCCACGAAGCAGATGGTGGGTTTGAACTGTCGACCTCTCAGTTAGCAGCCCAGTGTTTATCCGACAGCATCACCAGGGCTCCATCCATACTGATACAAAAGACCCATTGATTCAAAGCCAATTGGCCTTGAGCCCTTGAGGCACTCACCATTTTCTTGTTCTGTCATTAGCTTGTTCCTCACAAATATCCAGAGTGCCTCCTGACTGTGGCTGTCCAGCCCCCCTGTCCCCAGGCCGGTCCCCACTCCGGGTGCAGCACCCTGGAGACGTTCCCTGTTGCTCCTCTCCATCGTCTCCTCAAAATGTATCATGCTGCTCTTGATTTTCTCCAGTTCATCCACTCTCGCTTTCAGCTTCCTCACCTCCTCCGCTGAGATGAACAGATAAAAGACAATGTCACCAGAAGAAACCCTCAGTGATGGGCAGCTCCTTCACATCGCTGGGACAGTTTGCTGGAATATTTATGCTGAGATGACTATTATAGCTGTCTGCAGGACCCCTTACACAGAATGCAGCCTTGGAGACAGAAGCTTGGCCTGGAAGTCAGTCTTCCCATCTGAGATGGGTTACAGAGCTCCTCCTCAGAGAGACAGGGATGGGTGCTTTAAAAGGTGGATATGGGGCTCCAGGGGAAAGGCTCTGAAAAGGCCTGGCCGCATTAACAAATGCTTAGAGAATCTTACTTCACGGTAGAGAGTGCAGAACTGCAAATCCGGAGCCAGATTTGAATCCCAACAGATTGTCCTTGGCCAGCTTCCCCCCAGAGATTCAGTTTCCTCATCTGGAGCAACCACAGTTTGCACTGAGGACCCAGGCCACTCTCATACTTGGGACCACTTTCAGATTCCACCCTTCCGCCTCCTGCCACTCACAGGTTGTCTGGCCACCCTGGACACGTACCCAGAGCGATGAGACCGAAAAGCAGCCCGAGGAGAAGCAGCCAGGTGAGGAGCAGGCCTAGCAGCCACTTCCACCAGCTACAGCAGGAGCCACAGGGGCACCAGGCTGGAGCTGCCCCCCACGGGCTTCCACCTCCGCCGGCCACACCACCACCGCCGCTGCCGCCGCCGCCGCCGCCGCCGCCTCCGCCTCGGCGGTCATAGCCATAGGTTTCTGCAGACAAGAGGAGAAGGTTGAGGTGGATCCAAGCAGTTCCTGCCCCTTTCCTTCCACTCGCGCTGGATTTGGCTGACTTTCTGGGGGTCTTAGTGAGGCTTTATAGTGGGTTGTTTTGCATCAGGGAAGGATGAGGCTAGACCCTGGGATGAGCATGGGGCCACAACTGCTTAAGACAGTCGGAAGCTCCAGATGTGTAATGTTCTCTGAGTACCCTTTTTAGAAAATGAGATTAAAGAATGACCTAAACCACAGGGTGGTTGTTGAGTTAACTATGCAGAGGAATATAAAGTAATCAGGAGAGGATGTAGAACCAGTGCCAGTTAAAAAAAACTGTGTTAATAGTGTTGTTGTTGTTAAGTGGGGGTTTCAAAAACTTCATGGAAGATTTCCATTATCTTTAAATTCTATTTTTCCATGAACTTTTTGAAGCCCCCTCTTATTTTATTGATCACACAGTCCCAAGCAGAATGTCATTACACCCAAACCTAAAGACCCGTCTCCACAACTCAGTTTACACAACTCTTTGTAGCTCCCACCCAAACCCAAACCCCCTGCCATCAAGTTCTTTCCCACTCTTGGGACTCCTTAGGTCTGAGGAGAACTGCCTCAGGCTGTAAATGTTTATGGAAGCCAGCTGCCGCCATCTTTTCAAGGTTCACCCTTGTCAAGGCAAGTACCAGGACTTCATTTTTCTTTATGTTGTCGTTGTTAAGTGCTGCTGAGTTAGTTTTGACTCATTGCAATCCTGTATAGGGTTTCCAAGGAATAGCTTGTGAATTTCAATGGCAGACCTTACGGTTAGCAGTCTAGTGCTTACCCTACAGTGGCACACCAGGACTCTTTATGTTGTTGTTGTTAAGTGCGGTCGGGTTGGTTCCGACTCACAGCGATCCTACCTAGGGTTTCTAGGGAGCAGCTGGTGGGTTTGAACTGCAGTTCAAGCTGATTTTTCAGCCCAGTGCTTACCCTACAGCGCCACACCAGGACTCCTTATTAGTTGAGTGAGATTCCTTTGTATGTATATATCACAGTTTGTTTATCCATTCATCTGCTGATAGTCATTTGGGTTGCTTCCACTTTCTGACTATTGTGAGTTGTGCCACAGTGAACACTGGTATCCAAGTGTTTGAGTCTTTGCTTCAAGTCTCTTGGATGTATTCCTGGGAGTGGAATTGCTGGGTCATAAGGAGCTCTGCTAGCATAGTGCTTACGAATCGGACTGAAAACCTCAAGGTCAGCAGTTCGAAACTACCAGCTGTTCTGCAGGAGAAAGATGAGGCTTTCTGCTCCTGTAGATTTACAGCTTCAAAAACCCTGTACAGGGTTGCTATTAGTTGTAACCAACTCCACGGCACAGAACAACAACCCACCACAACCACATGGTATGGAGCAGTGGGTTGATGCACAGTTGGTTTGAAGTACAAGGCTAGTGATTCAAGGTCACTAGTTGCTCCTTGGAAACCCTTTAGAGGTTTGCTGTGGGTTGGAACTGACTCGATGACACTTAACAACAACAACAACAGCATGGCAATTTAGGAGTGCTGGTGTGGCTCTGTGGGATAAAGCACTGGACTGCAAGGTTGGTTTGAACTACAAGGTCGGTGGTTCAAGCTCACCAGCCACTCGTTGGAAACCCTACACAGGGTTGCTCTGAGTCAGAATCAACTCAATGGAACTTAACAACAACAACAACAGCATGGTAATTTAGGAGTACTGGCGTGGAGCTATAGGACAAGCAATGGACTACAAGATTGGTTTTAACCGCAAGATTGGTTTTAACCGCAAGGCTGGCTGTTGTTCAAACTCACCAGCTACTTCTTGGAAACTCTATACAGCATTACTATGAGTCAGAACAGACTACACACAGCTCTTAACAACAACATGGTAATTTTGTGAACTTTCGAAAGAAACTCTTAGTGTCATCTTGAAGCTAGTGCTGTGTAAAGACACAGTCTTTCATGTTGTGTTGTTCCTTTCCTGTAAAAGCAGGTAGTGGGTGCTGAACAGGGGGAGCTGCAAGGTCTATGAAGTACCATCTCCTGAGCTAAGCCAGTCTGTCCACTTTCCCACCCTCCATTCTGCTCCCTGTGAACCTTTAGTAAAACTTCAAAGATGGATGGCTAATTTGTGCAGTTTCTGGGTTAGGTGACTGCTACCAGTTCCATTAACCACAACCAGCCCCACTGGTTTCCATTCTTACTCACCTGCAGAGGCAGCCTTGCCCTTTGTGGACACTGTCTTCAGGTCTCCTGAAAGTACAGACACCAGGTGTTTAAACTGGAGGAGCCCCCAAGACTGCCCTACCCGGTTATTTTGGTCTAAGTTAATATATGTCCTAGGTCCCTTGCAGAACCACAAACTACAGGAAGGTCCATGAATTCAGTTCTCACTAGTCAGACAGATTACAGCAATGAAGACATTGCACCAATTAATGGTGGACAGAAACAGTGCTTCCATTCTCTTGAGACCTTAAATCTCAAAGCCCAAAACATATTCCACCTGCATTCAAACAGTAAGTGTGATAAATGACTGATATCTTGGTTATGGCACTCTGAGCATAGGTTCCTAACCTGGGGAGCCAGAAGGCATGAATCGGCTTGGTGAAGGTTTGTGCTTAACTCCCTGGGCATGTGGGGGAATTTTCTGGAAAAAATGTCCATAACCTCCATCAAATCCTGAAAATGGGTCTTGCATCCACATCCCTACCTCCACCCCCTAAAATGTAAAGAACTGATGATTTGGAAGGTTCTCTGAAATAGGCTCCAATCTCTCCTGCCATCTCAGAACTGTAATTGGTTTAGTTTTCCACTTATTTAACAACATTCTGTGACTTAATGCTTCTATTCCTTTACCGACTTCCTGTAACCAGTGGGTTGGAGATAGACCCTAAGGATTCAGAGCCCAGAAGGAGATACAGTTATTCAGGAAAGAATCCAGATATTTGGGAAGAAAGAAATAAATAAAACTAGCCAGTGCTTTTGCAAAACAATTTTTCAATTAGTTCTGAAAAGTATGGGCGGGCTTTCTGTGGGTTAATGCGCTGGACTGCAAAGTCAGTTTGAACTGCAAGGTTGGCAGTTCAAGCTCACCAGCTGCTCCTCGGATACCCTATACAGGGTTGCTGTGGGTCAGAAGCGAGTCAATGGCACTTAACAACAACAAATGAAGCAAAACAAAACAAAAAAACCAACAACAACAAAAATAAAGCAAAAACACTGTAGACTTTAAACATACCAGAGGAAGACTTTTGTCTCAGTACTGTGCATACGGACTACCAGAGTAGCTTGTTGAAACTCAGACTGAGATTCAGTAGATCTGGGATATGGGCTGAGAGTCTGCCTTTTAGCAAGTGTTGCTGAGGCTGCTCGTCCACAACCACTTTGAGTATCACAGTCTCAGGGAAAACAAAGTAAAATGTGGATTGGCTGAAGTCAAGGTGGACAGCTATCGGATCAGATTTGCTCTTACCATTAACTTCAGACTTCAGGCAGGCATCAGAAATGTAGGTGGCTTGCTTTTCTTTTTTTAGCGTGTCCTCTGAAAAGGAAGCTGTACACAAAACCAGGGATAATCCACCATATTCTCTCCCCACCACTCCCCTCAAGCCTGTCCCTTATCTTCTGTGTTGGGAGGAAGAAGAAAGCCAGGTAAGAAGAAAGCTCAGTTTTCCTGGGGTTAATCTTCCCACCCTTGCTGTAGCCTAAAGACTGCTCAGGGAGCTCTTAGTCTGAACTGTCTTGGCTTGTCTGCAGTCAAGGCCATCCTGGGATAGTTTGTTAGAGCAGGCATTTCCCATGGACTGGAATGATTGGCTTCACTATGGAAACCTTGCAAACCACGTAGCTCAGACACTGGGTCCCCTACATATTTGCCTTTCTTCTGCAGCCCCAGACCTGTGGGACCTTACTTGAAGCGATGGTCGCGGGGGAGGCCGTAAAGACCTTCCCACTATCCTTGGTCATGATCAGTAGCTCCATCTCCTTCTTGGAGGGCACGTTGTCTTTCTCTAAGATCAGGAACTTACAGTCCTTGTGCAGAAGGTCATCATTCTGGACAGTTGTGGTGCAGGCTGGAGAGGAAAGAAGTGGGCCAGGAGGGAGGGGAATGTGTCAAGATGCGGGTGGTGGAGAAAGAGAGGGAGAGAGAAGGCATAAATGGAAGAGGAAGGAGAAGGCCTTCTGATGTCATCAACAGTGGTCACCATGAAGCACCTCAGAGACCACAGACACCCTTCTCTGCTCAGCTAAACTGAACACTACCCTATGGGGCTGCCTCCAACCTGGAGATTTACAGGCGCTTTAGCAAACAGGCAAAAGTCACCCTTGCCAGGCTGTTCCTTCTTTTACTAACTGGCAGATTGATTTTTATCCTTCAGGTCTCAAATGTCACCTGTTCAAGGAGGCCTTTCTTGCCACCCCATCTAAGCATCCCTTCTCATACACACTCTCCTGTCTCTGCTACATAACTTCATTCCTGTACTTAAAAATGATTATCGTTTTCTGTAATTATCTTGTATACAGAATTGTCTGTTTATCATCTGCCTCCTCCACTGGACTTGTTATCTTGGTGGGGGCAGGAATCGAGCCTGTCTCGTTGACGGCTGTACTCTCAGCACAGGAACAGTGGCTGACAAACAGCACGTGCTCAGTCAAGATTTTTTGAATGAATGAATTCTTGTGTGGCAGGAAGCACGTGAGGATCAGAGCAATCAAAGAACTAGCCCACTTTGAGATTGAGAATCCAAGTAGATAAAGATTCTATCAGCAATAGGGAGGGGCTTCCTGGCTCTTATGATGGGTAACAGGCATCGGGAGAAGGCCATAGGCTACCGGACAAGGATGGTGGGTGGAGCTCCCTGCCTGCTTGGACAGGAAAGCCACCGTATGGTCAAGTGGATTTTCATCTTGGCTTCCTCATCGAAACACCCGAGAGACTCTTGGAGTGAGTTTCATTTGCAGACGTCAGACTACCAGCAGAGGGTTCTAGCCCCCTGCGATATGACTGCGTACACTGTAGACCAATTCTCCCAAGTGCAGCCTGACTCTAGGGGCTAGGGCACTCACCAGCAGAGGTGGACATGCCAGTGCTCACAGTGGTAGGGCTCTGAGGTATGTTTTTCTTGACACCGTATGCTGCAAAAGAGGAACCGATGAGTTAGAAACAGCCTGATCAGCCCTGGCAGAGTCCTGCATTGAAAAGCTGATGGTGAAATCAACTCTCTCTGCTAGCAGGCGGGCAGAGATGAGGATTTAGATGGAAACTTCTTCTTTGGTAAAATTCTCATCCTTCTAGGCCCATCCCAAAGGCCACTCCCTCCATGTTACTCTAGATCCACAAACATCTCTTTTCCTTCTGACCCCTTACGGTTCTTACCACCTACTTAGCTGTACAACGTGTCACTTAATTTGTGTTGTCTTATTGTTGAGTCAATTCCAACTCATAGTGATCCTATAGAAAATAATAGAACTGCCTCATAGGGTGTCTTGGGTTGTGACCTTTATGGGAACACATCACCAGGTCTTTCCGCCCATGAACGGTTGGCCATTTGGTGGCCACCAGGGCTTAACCACCAGCGCTCCATGTGTTTTCTTATTGAGTACCTAGTAATTTCATATATGTTAGACTTTCTATCCCAGACTAAACAGTAAGCAAGTTGAAGGCCAAGACTGCGTCTCATGCTTCTTATGAACTACCACCTCCCACCACCAACCTCAGGTCTCCACAAGAGCAGTAGCCTGGGGGTTGTACCACAAAATGAACCAGTCACTCACTGATTTTCAATGACAATGGGCTGTCAAGGAAAGCAGAGTGCCGACAAGACCATCAGCCCACTCAGTGTGGCTGTGGTGAAGGGACAAAGGGTACACAAGCAACACCACCAAGGTGCAGATGCTGTTGAAAGTGAAGGTTCCCCTCCAAATTTCATTCATGTCTGACCCAACAAATGATCAAGATTGACCTTTTTAGGTTAGACAGGAATGTGTTTCTTTGGTGGGGAATGTCAATTGTTTTTAAGGAATATTTTGGTTCCTCTAATTCAGCTGCTTAAAAGGGATATTGTGAGTTATAGCTGTAAAGGGTGCAACGCCCCAGCCCCTAAGCTCTAAACTGAGGCTACTGACCTGTGGAAGTGGTGGCCATGCCATGGGACAGGGTGGTTGAGCTGGGAGCCAGATTGTTCTGCATGCCAAACACTGTGAAAGGAATTGAGGTTGAATGGATAGAGGGTGCAATGCATAGCGGAGGCTCCTCAGAGGCAGGCTCTCCTGGAATCCCAAACCACTTTCATGATAAAAGTCTTTGTATCTAGCAGAAGTTCGCAAACTTCCTCCAAAACTGGCACCCGTAATGTCTCAGTCATTTTCTCTACCACAGGCCAAGAGAAATTACTAACAGTTCTGTTTTCTGAATAGTTAGGCCCACGTAACGTAATAGCAGGAGTTTGCATTGGGTATAACAGAAAATGTCCTAAAACATTACTCTCTTAAGCCTTGTGTTTCGAGTTTTCCAATTCTCACAGAAAATAAAGGTACTGGAACAAAGTAATCATGAAAGTCTGGTCTCTGGCCCCCTTCCCTGTGCCCATTTCCTTAGAACTTTCCCTTGAGGTTCAGAGTTCTAAGACCAAGAGCAGGATGCGTAGATGTACCTCATGGTTTCTGCTTCTGCACTGCAGGAGGCAAGTCTTACATGCTCACAGGCAGAATGGACGACTTTAATAGAAACCACTTTGTTTCCTCCCTAAAAGGGAGCCTCATTATTTATAAGCTAATACCTAGAAAAGGTGGCCCATGGTACTGACCTGAAGAGCAGGTACTGAGTCCTGGGTGCAGCGTGGGCGAACAGGACGCCATGTTATTTGGAACGCCAAAGACTGCAGGGGAGAAGAAAGGCTGGTGATAGGGATGCACAGCCCAGAACCGAGACAAAGACTTGGGCACCATGGGAAAACCAGAATAGACACCAGGACTGAGTTTTTATATTTTGTGCAATTTTTGAGTTTAGGATAAATTTAGTCTCTTGTCTTGCCACATTAGTTGTGGTGGACTTTGGGTCATAGCTAAGGACTGATCTTGCAATGGTAAGATCTCAAGTACACATTGGGTCCAGCCAAAGGCTGTTGGTTGTTAGTCTTCCCATTTTAGGAAGAAGGTACCTGAAGCCCACAGAAGTGAAACACCTGTTGAAGGTCACACAGGTAATTTGTATGGAGTGAAACTAGTTTTCTGCTTTTGTTTTCAGTGTTCTTTTCCATTACATTCTCCTGATATACTAGTGGACCTACCAGGAGAAAACCCTTTATAGACTGGATAGAATTGAATTGTTCCAGTGGAAGAATCTTGGAAGAATCATTCAGCTCCAGGATAAAGGTATCTAAGTTTGAGGAGTGGGAGGAGGTGGGTGTTGTCACATACCTGATCCTGAAGAATAGGCATTGGTGTTGAGAAGTGATGAGCTCTGGGTTGTCATGTTGTTGTAGGTCCCCATGGAGGACCCCGCAGGCAAGGTGGAGGACCACACATGAGTAGGAAGGTTGGTGTCAAGGACTGTTGCATCATAAGTGCCTGACACTGGAAACAGACACATGGAAAACCAACATTTTTACACTGGGAGGATCAACTCATCCTAGTTTTTAGGGGCTTTCTTGGTTGTTGGCACTGAGGGTCTTATGTCCCGGGAAGCCCCTCAGTCCCTGGAAAACTGGGCAGTTGGTCATCCCACTTCTGCCTGGAATCTCAGAGCTTAATTGTTTGAATGATAAATTCTTCCTGGCTCTTGGTGAGACTTGAGGCAGCTGCATTTTGCTCTGGAGTTCCCCCACTTCTCCTTCTAAGACCCTCTCTCCAGCTCCCTGTGTGTTGTTGCCTCCCATGGCCCTACTCTTCAAAGATTCTAAGGAACCCACAAATGAGACTCAGTAGTGAATCTTTTACAGTCGAATTCTAAGCACTGAGGCAAGTGCAGGATGTATGTTCTGACCTCGTTTCTGAGGCCACGTGGCAGGGAGGACATCTTAATATTCCTATGTGCCAATCAGAAATAAGAGACACTCCATACCTGGGAAAGGATTTTCATGATTTTTCATATCTGAAGCCAATTCTTCCTATGTATTATTTGAGAGGAAGTTAGCTATGCAGGTCATAAAAGTGCCCTGAGGCTTTGGTTATATTTTTTAATAACAAACAGAAGACCACAGTCTCTCCCACATTTCCAGTGGTGGAATGAGTAGAAAGCTTCAGGTCATAGCAAACCGGATTCTCTCCTGAATAAAATCTGTCTTATTCACTTTTCTACTTCCTACAGAATTCACCTTGCGTTTGGTATCTCTGTGCTGGGCAGCACTCACTCTATTTGACTTTGGTCACTTGGTTAGCTGTTCATCTCTCCCTAGAGATTCTTGTCTCCAGAGGGCAGCAATTGGTCTATCTTGTTCATTGTTTTTCCTTAGTGGCCAGTGCTCAGCATATGGTTATTATTGTTAAGTGCTGTCAAGTCAGTTTTGACTCATAGCAAATCTGTATAGGGTTTTCAAGGAGCAACTGGTGGGCTTGAACCACCAACCTTATGGTTAGCAGTCCAGGTCTGATCCTACAGTGCCACACCAGGACTTCTAGCATAGGGTTGTTGTTGTTGTTAAGTGCAGCATAGAGTAAGCATGCAATATTTTTTTGAATGAATGAAATAATGAATAGAAACACTACAATTTCCCCCCCAAATCTTCATTTAGGGAACCTGGTTAACACAATCTACTGTCAAAAATTGCCTCATATAGAATCTCTAGACTATAGAAATAAGTCTCAGAGTTGACCAGACAAGAGTAAGGACACAGCCCCCTTTTTTACGCTGCTTGAGCCGCTCTTTGGTTGGATTCCAAACATGCCCCTTTTTCCCCTTCCCTTTATTGTAGCCCTGGGCTGTTGAGCTTACCTGACTGAGAGCTTGCTGTCACTGTTTTGGTCTCCACAGTGCCCTTCTTGGGGATGGGGAGTGTGTTGGAGCAATTCCGTATGGGGCTTGTGCTTGCTGATCGGCTCCCCTTGAGCAAACGCTTCACGTCATCCAACTCTGTCCCTGTAAAAGAAACCCCAAACTTTCCATCCTGAGTCCATCTACAGGACGTGGGGAGGGTTCATGGATGGCACTGTGAATATCAGGGAAGATGGCATCTGCTTGATACTCTGGGACACTTTGGTTAGCCTTATAATAAGTTTTGCGCTTTGCTGATTTATAGCACCTATCAACCGGGCACTTTGTAATATTAACAGCCTCAGAAAGAAAGACCTCTCAAAAGGAGGTCAAAGTCCTTGGTAGATATTTCCTAATTAGATCCCATCATACACCATAGGATGATTCTGTGACTCGGAGGCGCTGCCATCTTACATTGGATGGAGGGTAGTTAAACAACCAGGTTTCTTGAAGCAAATTGTTCAACAGTAGTCTCATCCCCTGTACAGGACACCTCTGTTGGTGGTAGGTCCCTGGCCTTGTTTGCCTGGGAGTGTCCAAAGGAATCTGTGGCCCCTAACTCATAAACATGATATTGTTTTATGTGATTTAAGTTCAAGTCCATCTGGCCAATGCTATGTGCAGCCAAGTGAAGTAGGGGAGCAAGTTTCCCAAACTGGGCAACCTGGAGAGGAGGGAGGTTCTGTACAAGGGCAGCGTATAAGATGGGGCACAGATTGATGAGTAAGTCCCCTCACTAAGTTCTCCCCTACTTGGGCTCAGCCCCGCAAAACCTGGAAGAACTCAGGGGAGAAAGCATTAGCCCTCGAATGAGCTCCCAAGCTCCCGGGTCCTGAGCTCTCTGGACAAACCCAAGTCTTGTTTCTGGAGCTGTCTGATCTAGCTCTTTGTTCTTCATACGCTTCTACTTGGCTCCTGTGTTAAGTTTGGCTCATTTCAAAACATTGTCAAATAACCTCTCACAAGAACAACCAGAGTTGAACATATTTAATAGACAGAGACTGGGGAATTCCTGACATTTGAGAGGAAGTTCAAACTCTCTCTGTTTAGAACACAGAGCCTGTCATGTTCTGACTTCTGACCCTTCTCTACTCTTAGCTTTCCTAACCGGTCCCCTTGTCCTCCTTTCCCTTCAGCCACACAGTTGAGTCCTCAGATGTCTCATCCCTCTGAGCCCCACTCAGATCAGCCCTTCAGTCTCCAAGTAAGTGACATCTAGCCCAGGAAGGCTTGCTCTGGCTGCCCCTCTCTGCTCCCTCACGCTCGCTGAGCTGAGCCCTATGACTGTGCTGTGTTGGGTGGTAGACAAGAGTCTGAGAACCACTAAGCAACAGGGACCTGACCTACTCAGCTCCTTACCTACAGCACTAGCACAGGGTCCAAGGCACACATGGACCTTAAAGAATGTTTCATGATTGAGTGAGTGTGCACACACATACACACTGCCCTACCTAGTCTTTAGTCAGTAACCCTGGATTCTTGGATGCTTTCCCTTTGGCAGGTTAGTGACTACTTACATCTGGTAGATGGGGATGCACTCTGCAGTCTAACCCGGATTTCACTCTCTGTACAAGGGAAGAAGTGGAAAAGACTGTGAATGAAGGAGCTTGGATCAGGGCCCCAACACTGAGCTCTGAGTGCAGATGAATCTTTGGGTGTCTCTGAAATCCCTGTCCTGGGAACAGGACACCTATGTGTGTCCAGAAATATTGCTACTGAAAAATGAAACTCCCTCCTGCCACCCAACCTGCTAACCACAGATCTCCCAGCCTTGCGGGGACAGGCTAAGGGAATACCAGGCTGCATGGGAGACCCCACTTTGATCAGTATTGACAAATCCCCTCCCCATCACCATTTCACACATGCCAGAAACAAGTTTCTCTCCTACCTCCTGACCTCTCAAGCACTAGAAAGAATTCTAAAATATGGAGGGCTTACTTAGTTATCTTGGAATTCTCAGAAATAGGAAGGGTAGAGAGTTGATAGTTTAATTTTATTAGTTCGCTTTAGGTGGAGAATCTGCATCTTTGATGTTCAGTCCAGTGGTGTGTGTATGTTCCTAACTTTCAAGTTACTGATGACAAGAAGGCGCACAGGAAGTCTGGGTGGGTCATTTGAGAACTTCTTGGGCTCTTCAGCATAGCCTAACATGCTGCTGCTTGTTACCCTCACCCAAGTTTATCAAGGACAGCTTCTCCCAGGACCACATCTCTCTAATATGTCCCTGCCATGGGCAAATGGGGAAATGGCAAAACTGTGATGCAACCCTTTATCCTCTGGAAAATTTTAGGGAAAAAAGGGGGGCATAGAATTTGTTCAACTTTTGATGCATAAAGGCAATTAAAGCACATCTTGTTAAAGTCAACCAGTAGACTAGAAGTAAAGCTAGCTACAGCATCTGTTTCTTTAGATAATGCATAACACAACAAGCTAGGTCCCTAGATCATCACTGTGTGCTTTATTCCTCTTCACATGTTTAGATCACTATCAAATATTACTCTTCCCATCCTGATAGAGTCAGAAAAAAAAAAAAAAAAATCCCAGGATACCATAGGCTCCTTGAGGGTGGAAACCATGCCATATTTATTCTTGTATCCTCCTCACACTCCTAGCTCAAGGTTGGACACATGCGCATTTGCTGTGAAGACTTGTTAAATGAACTGAAATCAATGATGCAACTCACCTCGTGTTTGGCTCCGTCCTCTGGTTGAAGTAGATGCTGAGGAATAAGTAAACAAAAAGTCATTTTAGGCATAAGTAAGAGGTGGCATGCTGAATATTTTTGGCATAGAGGTAGATATAATTTGGAAGGACATTGTTTTTCTAGTTATGTATATATATATATATTTAATGGGTAAAACAAGTAAGGTCTTAAAGAGATTTTGCTTAGACTGGAATAAAGCAGGGCAAGGGAAAAGACAGAGCAAAGAGAGAGAAACTTGTCTTGATCAGACTACCAAAAAATACAAAACAATGTCATGGAGTCAGTTCCGGCTCACTGCTCTGTGTTGTTGTCAAGTCGGTACTGACTCATAGTGACCCTGTATAGGGTTTCTGAGGAATGGCAGGTGAGCTTGAACCACCCACCTTGCGGTTCAAAGCAACTTGAGGTCATGTGCTTATTCCTATGAAGTCATCTTTCTCCCTTATTGGTCTCCCTCAGTGCAGCTGGTAGGTTTGAACTGCTGACCTTAGGTTAGCAGCCCAATGCTTAGCCCACAGAGCCACCAGGGCTCATCTTTATCAGGCTGTTGTTGTTAAGTACTGTCAAGTCAGTTCTGACTCATAGCAACCCTGATGCTTCCAAGGAGTGACTGGTGGGTTTGAACCGCTGACCTTGTAATTAATAGTCCAGTGCTTATCCTACAGTGCCACACCAGGCCTCCCTATGTGAAGATAAATACAGAAATCCATTTATCACCCAGATCCCTTCCTACTGTTCTGGCTACATAAATTACGAGACCCAGTACCAAATGAAAATGAGGGGTTCCTTGTTTTAAAATATTAAGAATGTCAAGCTAATGACAACAGAGCATTAAACCAAGAAGGAGCCCTTCTGAGTGAGGGACTCACTGTGACCAACCCTGCTTCCTAAACCAGACTAGTGACTGTCAATCAATCCCCACTCATAGTGACCTCATCTATATATGTCACAGTAGAAAGGTTTTCTTTTCTCTCTCTCTCTCTTTTTTAATTGTGAGTTGTGTGAAAGTTTACAGAGCAAATTGGTTTTCCATTCAACAATTCATACACATTTTGTTTTGTTACACTGATTGAGATCCCTACACTGTAACAGCACTCTTCCCACTTCCTCCCTCTGTCAAATATTTCCATTCATATCCCTTCCTTCCTCCTGAGCTTTATCCCCGGGCAAATGCTGCCCTATGGATTGCATATGGTTGAATATGAGTACGTACCTCCCTAGTGTAATTGTCACCTCATAAGCCTGTCTGCTGTTTGACTGAAAGCTGAGCCACAAGTGTGAGTTCAGCTCTAGGCTTGCAGGGTGTCTAAGGGCCATAGTCTCAGGGGTCTTGGTGTGGTGCTGTGGGATAATGCACTAGACCAAAAGGTCAGTTTCAACTGCAAGGTCAGTGGTTCAAATCCACCAGCCACTCCCTGGAAACCCTATACAGGGTTGCTATGAGTCGGAACCAACCTAAGAACAACCAGAGCAGTAAGCCTGGTCTTTATTATTATTATTATTATTGTGAATTTTGTTCCACATCTTTTCCCAACTC